AGTGTTGGTGGGGTAGGCAAGGCAGCAGTCGCTCTCGCGCCAGTGCTGGTCATTCCGCACTGTGAGGCCGCTGCCCAGCTTGCTGCAGGCGAAGGCGATGTCCGGCCTTGTCGTCGTCGCCGCGAACTGCAGTGAGCCGACCTTCTGCCGGTACTCCTCCTCCTGGCGCTCCTGTGCCTCCTCGTCGTCGAAGGTTAGCTCAGCGTAGACATCGACGGAGACCTGCACCTTTGGGGTTCTCCCGGTCTGCTCCTCGTCGATGAACCGCCTGCGCAGCTTGTCGGCGTAGTTCTGTTGGTGCAGCCACAGCTTCCTCGCCGGCCTATCGCGCACGATCTCCAGCCCGAGGTACTTCTCCACCGGCGAGATCTCGCGCAGCTCAAAGGCGGCCTCTAGCAGCTCCTTCAGCTCCTTCAGCATCGCGGTGCTGCTGCTGGCGGCAAGCAGGTCGTCGACGTAGACCAGCACCCAGCAGGCCACTCCGTCATTGCCGACCTTGAAGTACAACGCCTCGTCGACCTGGCTCTTCTTCCATCCGGCGCCCATCAGCAAGGCATCGAGCACCCGGTACCACAACAGCGGCGACTGCTTCAGCCCGTAGAGGCTCTTTAGCAGCTTGCACACCCGGCCGGTCCCGTCGTTGTAGTGGCCCGGCTGGTACATGTACAACACCCGGTCCAGCTTGCTCTGGATGAAGGCGTTCTTCAGGTCGAGCTGCATCAGGTTATGGTCGAGGACGGCGACGATGCTGAGTAAGATCCCCAGCGTGACATAGCTGATCACCGGCGCGTAAAGCCCTTCATGACTAGCCTCGCCTTCGCACGAGCGACCGTGTCGTCGATGTGGTACTTGGTCATCAGCACCCACCGGTTCTTCATGATGTTGACGCCGCGCGGCCGCTCCACCAGCTCCCACGTGCCGCTGGCAATGAGGCTGCGGATCTCCTCGTCCATGGTGGCCTTCACCGCCTTGCCCTTCGAGCTCGCCAACGCCTCACTCACCGTCATCGTCTCGATATCCCATCGGTGCTCGGGCTCGGCATGCATATGTCGGGGTCGAGCTCCGGCGAGTCGACGTCCTCCTCGGCGTCGTCGTACAGCAGGTCATCGTCGGGGTCATCGTACATTGTGGTGAAGGCAGCTAACGGCGGACAGGCGTAAAGGCTCAGTCGTTCGACCTGAGCGTCGCAACTCAGGTTGCTCATTCGGCACCTCCACCACATCGTTGTCTGTGGACTGCCCGGCGTCCGACTGCTCCCCTTCAGCTTCGCCGGCTTCACTGTCCTCGGCGTCCTGCTGCACCAAAGCCGGCGTCCCAGCCGACTTCTCCGTTGCCGGCAGCTCCCCTGTCGGCTTCACCGTATGCTGCTACCCTGTTGGCGGCTTCCCAGCAAACGCTTCTTTCGCCGCCTTCACCTTTGTTGGCGTTAGCTCCTCGGCTTGCTGCTCCCCTGCCTTTGTCGGCTCCGCTTCCACGCCGACTTGCTTGACGCCACGTCGGCCGCCGGCGATGCCCTTACCCGGCGCCACAGCCAACGCCCCACTGCTCCCCTCAGCTTCGGAGGCCGACGGCGATGTCGGCGCACGCAGATCGGCTACGAGAGGTGGAATGGCAGGGGTAGGGGGAGGAGGAAGGACTTCCTTGGCGTCCTCATCAGCAAGCTCACCGATCTTGGTGAGCACAGGGAGTGTCGCGGTGGAGGTGTCCGTCGGCGAGTTGGCCGGCGTTCCCCCGATGCCGGCCCGTGCTGCAACTTCCACACTTCCAGCGACAGCATCTCGTAGAACACCACGTCCGACGTGGTGACCACCTTGTTACTAGTGATGTCGAAAAGTTCCCAGCCCTTGCTCTCCTCCGACACACCGAGGTGAAGGCCCCACCAGGCCTTCGGCTGTAGCTTGCCACCACGCTGCTGCTCGGGGACCAGGAACTGCGCCATGCAGCCCCACACGCGTGCCAGCGACAAGTCGGGCTTCTTCCCGGTGAGCAGCTGGTACGGCGTCGTCCCCGGCGGCAGCGACGACCTTTCAAGACAGTTGCGGACCCAGACGGCCTGACGCAAGGTGAGGTGCCACCAGTGGTGCTGCACGCCCATGTGCAGCAGCATCGTCCGCACCGACTCCACCACCGTTCGCATCTCCCGCTAAGCCATGCCATTCTGCTACAGGGTGTACGGGTAGGTCAAGTCGTAGACAATCCCCTTGCCGTCCACGAGGGCGGTGAAGTCCTTTCCGAGGAACTCCCCTCCCCGGTCAGAGCGCAGCATCAACACCGATTTCTTCGTGTGCCGCTCGGCTACCACCAGCCACTGCTCAAACTCCCACAACACGTCCGACTTCTTGGCGACCGGCTTCACCCACACGCAGCGAGTCTTGTGGTCCTTCAGGAGCAAGAAGTACAAGCTGTGCACAACAGCCAGAGCGTCCTCGGCGTCCGAGCCCTTGTCGGGGAAGGTGTGTCGCGCCAGCTTCCCACCGACGCACGAGACACACGGAGAGTCGGTGCCGGCCGACGGCTTGATGTCCAGGCCGGTGGCGACCTCGTGCTTCGCCGAGCTCCGGATCATGTGGACGATGACGTGTGCGAGCCTCGCATGCCACCTATCTGGCGTCGAATTTTTCGCCGCAGCGATCGTCCGCAGAGCCACCGCCTCAGCCAGCGCTGATGCCGTCGTCTCGGGGCACGGGCGCAAGTCGGTGCAGGGGACCCGGCCGGTGTACTTCGCCGAACCAAGCACGTCCCCCGCCGCTGAAACGAGCAACATCTCGTCGCCGTCGTCCAGCAGCTTCACACCACTCTCCTTCAGTTGGCCGACCGAAAGCAGGTTCGCCTGCACGCTCGGGACGTAGATAATGTCGGGGATGAGCACCTGCTTCCCGGCATCCCCTTGCACAGCGATGGTGCCACGGCCGCGAACGTCCTGCAGCGCCCCATTGAAGCCGCGCACGTGCTTGACATCGCCGCTCGGCTCCAAGTCGATGAAAGCCTCCTTCGTCCCCATCAGGTGGTGCGAGCAGCCGCTGTCAAGCAGGACCACTGCCGGGTTCACCTGCATGGCTGCCGCCACCGCCTGGAAGTCCTCGCCAGCCTCCGGCGCCAGCGAGACGATCAGCTCCACGACACCGACCAGCGAGCACGACGCCTCCTTGTCGCCTCGCCCCTCGCCGCTTGTGGAGGAGTCGGCGTCCTTCGTCGAGGTCGACTTGTTCGACCGCTTGTCCTTGCGCGGCTTGCTTTCCCGACGTGGACGACGGCTTGCCGACCTCCTGCAGCCTCCCTTTGCATCGTCGTCGGAGTCACTGCGGTCGGTGCACTCAAAGGAGAGTTGGTCGGGGTCGCCGCTCAGCCAGCATTCCCGACGTCGCCCTCCGCCTCTACGACTGCTGTCCTTAGCTGACTTTCCCTTGTCGGCGTCTTTGGCCGGCTTCCTACCACTGCTACCACCGCCGCCAGGCTTGCCGCGCTGCCTCGGTCGGCCTCCTTGCTTGGTCGGGGCAGCGTAGTGCGCCAGTGGCAGGAGCTCTGTGGACCGCTCGGCCTCCTGCATCACCTCATCCCTCAGAGTGTACGAGGTCAGCGAGTCCTCGTTGAGAGACTCGCGCGTGCCCGACACCACCATCAATCGCTTCATCAGGTTGTAGCTGCTCGGGAGCCCCTTGATGATGTGCATGATGTACGACGCCGTCGAGTATTCGGCGCCGGCAATCCGCATGCAGGCAAGGAGATGCCAATCTCGGTTGCAGTAGTTGGTCGCAGTCTCTTGCTCGCCCATCCGCAGGTGCGTCATCTGCTCCTCGAGCTGGCCGATGTACAGGTCGTCAGTCATCTGGTACATTGTCATGATAAACCGCCACGCCTGATGCCCGGCGTCCAGGTGACGCTGGCAAGACTTCAAAGAAATATGCACCACCAATGAGCAGCACCACGAGATGACTGTGAAGGTCAGCAGCTACACTGCGCGAAACTCCGCGCGCAACTCGACGTTGCTCTCCGGCAGCGTCTCCATGGCGCCGTCGGCGAAGCACATCAGCCTGGCCATCTCCAGCTAGGTCTCGAAGGATTCCTTCCACGTGAGCATGTCGTAACGACCAGTACCGCTTTCCTAAAAGTGGAACCCATGTTGTGTGTCAAAAACAGGACTGGAACTTAGTAACCATAGCTAGGGTTTAGTTAGCTAGGCAAGGAGGTGGAGGGGTGGATAGGGCAAAAGAGGGTTGGCATTAGAAGAGAGTCGAGGGTTATACAAGCAATGCAAGCATGCACAGGGTGCACCACCAACATTATGCTACACTACACCAGGTTGTTGCAGAAATTTGTTACATATACAAATTCATTTCTTGACATTGTGCTGTTTGTTTCCTTCCATACATACATTTGATATTAAATATCCTAATTACCTCACTATAACTTCATAAAGTCACCTATGCTTTCGTCCTGGTGCCATAACTCTCACTCCAGCTATACTCCTTTACCATCATCACTCATCTTGTAACAGGGTCATCAATCTCCTTATCGGCTCATCAATCCATGTCATCTCAGTAGCCACCAGTTTCGCATGGCAGCATACACCCATGCCACCTTCTCTTGATGCTGAGATACAATGCGCAAATGATGATGCACCACAATTTCGGCCAGCACCACCACAACCATCACTGCCAGCAGCAGCAGCATCACATTCATCACTGCCAGCAGCAGCAGCATCACATTCATCACTGCCAGCAGCAGCAGCATCACATTCATCACTGCCAGCAGCAGCAGCATCACATTCATCACTGCCAGCAGCAGCAGCATCACATTCATCACTGCCAGCAGCAGCAGCATCACATTCATCACTGCCAGCAGCAGCAGCATCACGTTCATCACTGCCAGCAGCAGCAGCATCACGTTCATCACTCCCAGCAGCACTGGCCGATCCACACGAGAAATGCTGCCGATGAGTGCACATAGTGAAAGGCGGATTGACCAAAGGCGCAGCCAGCAGAGCTGTTGAAGCCAATTGCTTATCGGAAATGCTTGTAAAGGGGACGGAATGAGCAGAGGAACGAAGTGCTGTTGAGCGTGCGGACTCCACAGCGTGGAAGATGCATTGTGCATGCTGGAAATAGGGTTTAGGGTAAGGCCACGGCGAGTGCAAGCATGCAAGTGGCACAGGGGAGGGTTAGGTGCTGACCTGATATAACCAGTGCATGAATGCAGCTATGTCTGACAAACTATGGCCGGTTGGGTAGAGAGCCTCATAGGCAGAGGATGGGAAAGTGACTAAACAAGACAATTTTCACGCAGAGCCAGCACGCCATCTGAGGGCCCACCACTCATACCTGCTGCAAGCCCATCACGCATACCTGCTGCAACATCGGCCGGATGATGCTCAGGTCTTGAGGTGAAGCAAATGAAGTCATGTGGAGGAGTGTCGCTGTGATCTGATGTCATACACACACATGTGACACACACGAACATGGTTTGACACAGATTCAGAGCGTTTTGCCATCTGATGATGCCATGAATGCACACGTGTTACAGACATACATATCATGTGATGTTACAGCGACATGAACATGAGTGACACAGATTCAGGCGCAGTAAATGACATGCCAGTCGTGAGAAGCTGGAACCTTCAACGCGGGTACCTGTGGCTTCAATGCTAGTACTTCTCGATGCTCCATTACCACCCCACAGCTTGAAGCACCACAGCTTGAAGCACCACACTCCACTGCTCGTCCTATCAAAATAACACTGTCCCAAACACACCCAATACCACGGCCATTCCCACACCGCCATGTCACACTAGTCTTACCATGCCACCTGCTTTTCGCCCCCCCCTCCCCCCCTCCCACCTTCCCTCCCCCTCACCCCCCACTCTTCAACCCACCGCACCTGATCCCTCAGCACCGGCTTGTACCGCTGCTCCACTGCAGTCTGCTGTTCATCCACTGCATCCAGTGAGGCGAGCGACGAGACAAGGGCGTGCAGGATAGCACCGAATTCTGGGCCATAGTCTGACGTGAGAGGGGTGCGAGGGAGGGGTGGAGAGGAAGGGAGGGGGTGGGGAGGAAGGGAGGGAGTGGGGAGGAAGGGAGGGGGTGGGGAGGAAGGGAGGGGGTGGGGAGGAAGGGAGGGAGTGGGGAGGAAGGGAGGGGGGGGGAGGAAGGGAGGGGGTCGGGAGGAAAGGAGGGGGTGGGGAGGAAGGGAGGGGGTTGGGAGGAAGGGAGGGGGTCGGGAGGAAGGGAGGGGGTTGGGAGGAAGGGAGGGGGTGAGGAGGAAGGGAGGGGGTGGGGAGGAAGGGAGGGGGTGGGGATGAAGGGAGGGGGTGGGGAGGAAGGGAGCGGGATGGGTGCAAGCAGTCAGCAGTCAGCAGGACAGCACCGAACTCCGCTCCATAGTCTGACGTTGGAGGGGGTGTGAAGGGGGGGTGGGTGGGGCAAAGGGGAACAGGGATAAGTGCAATCAGGCTGCAGGAGAGCTCTGAACTCCGGGCCATAGTCTGACCATGGGGGGAAGTGAGCGGGGGTTGGGCAAAAAGGGAGGGGGTGGGGAGGCTGAGAGTGTGCTCAGGCAGCAGGAAAGCACAGAACTCCGGACCATAGTCTGACATTGGAGGGAGTGAGACAGGGGGGGGGGAGGGGGGGTTGTGCAAAGCTAAGGCAATCAGGCATGAGCGCAATGAGCCAGCCAGATAGCACAGAATGCTGGGCCATAGTCTGGCGTTAAGGGGGGATGATAAGGAGGAATGCAGTCGGCAATGGGTGCATACCATCAGCCAGCAGATACTCCTGCCCCTGCCCTCACCTGCCCCAGCTCTCACCTGCCCCAGCTCTTATCTACGCTAGTTCTCACCCGCCCTGGCGCATGGCTGGATGAGGGCAGCAGCGGCGTGGATGCGAATCTTGAAGTTGGTGGAGCGCTGTAAGAGCGCCTGCAGTGTGGCGAGAGTGGGGGCAGTCCTAGTGGGGGGAAGGGGGAGGGCGAAGGGGGAGGGGGAAAGGGGGAGGAGGAAAGGGGAGAGGAGGGATGAAGAAGGTAGAGCAGGAATGGGAAAGAGGGAGAATGAAGGGAGAAGAGGGCATGGGAAAGGAGGAAGAGGGAAAGGGGACTGGGGAAATCAGGCAAGGGAGAGGGGGAAAAGGGAGGGGAAAGGGGGAAAGGCAAAAGGAGGAGGGTGGGTATCACCAAACCTTTTTGCGAAAATGTATCTCGAGAGCCGATTCTAATCGCATATGTAGAAGTGTATGGTATGGGCGGTATGGGCTGTTAGTGTTAGCCCTCAATCTCACATTTTGTACTTGCAATTTTATATCATAGTGTAGTGTAGTTTGCACTTTGTGTTTGGTTGGGTGTACACCCACATCCCAACCAAACCCAAATGTAATCTCCAAGCAATCTCCAACCCACCAATTGGAGATTGCCTTGGGATTACCCCCAATCCCTAGAGATTGCCCGATTCCCCTCCCCATCCATTCCTTGCTTATCCCCGATGTCCTTAAAGAGCTTCAAGCTCATTAGTAATGTATGGATTCAAAGCTCAAGTTTTGACATGGGCTGCAAGAGTGAGCGAAGAGGAGTGGAAATGCCACCCGCACAGAGTAGATAAAGGGAAGGAAATTATCGAGCAGCAGTGTTGGCAACTTGGAAACCACAGTGGCGACAGGGAAAGAATAGATTCAGGTGTGAGTAATGTACCAGGGAGAGGACAGGAGGTGACTTATGAGTCGACCAAGTCACCTCGTTAAAAATTCACCTCGTACCAAGGAGAGGAAGTGTGTTCCTTTGAGGGGCATCAAAGATGCAAAATAAACATGAGCATCGAATTTGAACATGATTGATTCAAACATTTTCGAACACCTAGAAATTTCGAACCAACGTGTTCGGTTCCCTCGAACACTCTTTCAGAAATCTCATGTTCGAGTGTTCGTATGCAAAGGCGAACACTTAGATGTTCGCGGGAACATCTAAGTGTTCATGGCAAACTCAAACGTGTTCGAGTTCACCCCTGTATTTTCCACTAGTCCCCCGTCGTTTCCCCATCCTGAACTGGTACCACCAGTCCCTTTCATCGCCATAGATCTCGTCCCTAAATCAGGTTATTCCCTGGAAAGGAGGGATGGAGAGGTCCATGGGCGAATGCCTTTCGCCACGGGCGAAGGGTCGGTCCGGACTAAAAGTATGGTTGGCCGCGTTAACTCTAAAGTGGATCTGCTAAAAATGGGCTCTTAGTAGCGGAAATGCCTAAGTACCAGTTCTTGGCTTATGTTTCCGTACGCTAGGAGCCTAAGCCATGCTAAACTAAAAGCAAGAGATTGAGCTCGAAATGAGCTCAATCTCAGATCTGCGCAACCCTAAATTGGAAACCAGCGCGGCCAATGTCGTGCTGGTTTTTATCACGTACACTTTGATGTTCATGTAGGGCAGATTTGAACTCGAACATGTTCGAGTTCGAGGCGGCGCGGTAAAAAAACGCAGTCGAACTCGAACATGTTCTAGTCGAACTCGAACATGTTCGAGTCGAACCGAACAGGCGTTCGTGAATATGCTCATGTCTAATGCAAAGTGATGTACCAGGGAGAGGAAGGGAGGTGCACGGAGGGGTTCTGGAGGAAGAGGGAAAGCGCCGCACACACACTCCACTGCACCTGTGTATGGCGAGAACAGAGGGGGGGAGGGGGGGAAGAGGGGCGGGAAAAAGGGATGTAACGAGATGGCTTTAAAGTGAGGAAGGGGGAGTGGTAGAAGAAAGGGTTGCAGACACATTTCACTGCATCTGTGCATGTATGAGCAACGAGAAGAAAGGGTTGGGGCACAGAGGAAAAGCGGAAGGAGGGAAAGAGAGAGGAGGGGTAGAGAGAACATGATCAGGATGATACAATCAATCAAACAAACTCCCTCCACCTCCTCTTCTGCTCCCTTTTCCCACTCCCCGCTTTCCACTCCACTCCCACTCCCACTCCCACTCCCACTCCCACTCCCCACTCCCACTCCCCACTCCCCACTCCCCACACACTGTCACTGTCACATCCCACGCACTTGCCTTGGGGTTGCTCTGCAAGGCGCATGAGAGAATGCCGTCCACCACTCGCTCCTGCCACGCCCCCTCCACTCCACCACTGCTCTCCCTCTCCTCCTCCACCTCCTCCCGTGCACTTACTGTCTCTTGATTCTCAGCTTCCCTCTTATGCATGTCAATGTTTCCTGCTTCTGCACCCCTCTCTGCTAGTGCAGCCCCTGCTGCTTCTGATGCAAGTCCAACAATCTGAGTCAAACCAGCAGTGGCCGTGCTGCTGATACAGCTATCACCAGGACACTGCTGCATCTGCAGCTGCTGATCTCCTTCGATACGGCCACCAGTACTTAACCTGCAACCACTTCCCCTGCCGGTTTCACATGCCTCTGCTGCTTCACCCCGCACTGGCTGTTGACTCTCACACAAGGTGCAAAAAAACGACGTTTTTTTTCAAAATTTGATCGTATAATACCGTATCGTAAAAATCAATCGTAAAAAACGATAAAAAAACGATTTTTGGAAAATGTGGCATTTGGGTGGAAAAAAACCATCGTTTTTTCAAGAAAATCTCTCATGTGCTGCTGGAACATGGACAATTTTACATAAATAGAACGAGAGGGCCATTAGGAGTGCTGCTGATGCTTTAAAAGATGCTGCGAGGCATTTGTTTGCTAAAAATAGCATCTTTGAAGTTTTTGTGTTTCTTTTTTCTAACAAAAAAACGTCGTTTTTTTCCCAAAAGCTACCGTAAAATACCATCGAAAAAAACAATCGTATTTTTCGACAACCGTTTTTTTCCACCTTGCTCTCACAGCAGCACCGGCCGTTATTCTGGTGGCACCGTACCTGCCCTCCTCCAGTCTCAGCAGCTGTTGAGGAGCAGGAGAGGCGTGCGGCAGTGGCGGTGTGGCGACCACAACAGCATGGTCTGGCAGGGATTTCTGCATTGGTGTGTGGGCAGCAGCGGTGGCAGAAGCAGCAGCAGCGGGCGAGAGCCCCCAACAGCCGAACGGCACTGGCTTTGACCTGAGAGGGGGGGGAGGGTTGAGAGGAGAGATGGAGGAGCAAGGGAAGGACAATGTCACTGGCCTAACGGATTCTGCAAAAATGATCAATAAGTGCATGCCATTGTGGTGCTTATCATAAACACCTTCTCTCGTTATCATCACCTGCTCATAAAAAAGTACCTAATCCATCTCGCTGACTATCATGAATAAATCATTGTACCATTATCATTTGATTATCATACATACAGTACCTTATCATTGTCGCCTGCTCCTTTCACTGCAGCACTGGCGAGAGCTTCAGCGTCGGACGCACCCCACCAGGCGGCACTCCATTCCCCACCAACATGAACACCCAGTGCGGTGCCAGAACCCTCCCTGCTGTAGTGACTGGTGCTACAGTACTTGCTGCTACAGTGCATGGGCGGCAGACGCTCTGAGATGTTAGCAAGGGACCACATTGCAGCAGAGCGGACCTGCGGTTGGGGGCAGGGCAGCACATCGGGGCATGGGGACGGGGGGATGGGGGAGGGGGAGTAGTAAGGAAGGATGAAGCAAATGGCAGCATTGTAAAGTAGAAACATACTAAAGATGGGATGACCGGAGATTGGCAAAGGTAAATGAAGCTAAATGGTAACATAGAAAAGGAAAGTTTGGTTGTGGATGCAAAAGGAGATGTAAAAAAAGTGGGGTGAAGAAAATGGCACAATACTGTGAAAGAGAGGTTGGATGATTCGCATGGGGTGCAGTGCAGTGCAGTGCAGTGCAGTGAGTCATTGTTTTTGCAGTGGAGAGCAACGGCACTCACAAGAACGGAAGAAGAGGAGCAGGCTTGAAGCAGCAGCATGCGGCCGTGAGAGAAGAGACTCAAGGCAGAGGAGGAGGAGGTTGAGCAAGATGAGAGCGATGGCAGCTCTAGCAGTAAGGCATGCCGGTGTTCATCTGGAGTTCTATTCATTCTCATATGCCCATGGCGGAGGGGAGAGAGAGGGGGGGGGGGGGGGAGGTCAGAGAGGAAAGCTGGTAAGTGCCGGAGGGATACGGAAGGCTGGTGGAATGAGAGGTTGCTGTATGTCAAGGAGTGCAGTAGTGCTGCTAAGGAGTGAAGATGGGTGGAGCAAACCAGTAACACCAGCACAAGCAACTTGGAAAAACAAGTGGGAGGTGACATTCGATTCGAGTCAGAAGTCACCAGGACTGCACAAGCAACGTGGCAGGCACGTCGTGTGCTTGTGGGTGGTTTCAGTGCAGTGAAACAAGGGTACCCAAAGTTTATTTCTTACGAAGTTCCAACTCACCGCCCCCCCGCTGATAACAAGTATTTGCACATCACATAAAGGCAGCACTCACTGTGCGGGCAGCAGCACTCACCATGTAAGCAAAACCCAACTCACAGTGCGGGCATAAGGTGCAGCAGAATGGTTCCAAAGACCTTCATCAGCGCTCCTTGCACTGCTGGCAGCGACTCTCCTGCTGCCAAGGCGAACTGGCATTGGCAAACAAGGGAGGTCGGAGAGGGAAAAGAAATAGAGGAAGACGAGGAGGAACAGTAAACTCACCCTGCAGACGAACGTGAACACCAGAAAGCTAAGAGACGACCCCTAAGGGGGGGAGTTTATTTTGCAAAGAGTTTAAAATCAGAGATAGTAAGAAACGAACTGACCTCCAGCAAAGCGGAAGTGTGGGAAATGCGCAGTCAATGAGCTGCTCATGGGAGGGACATAGGAGCTGAATCTGTTTCTTGAGAATTGTCAGAAAACAGATTGGGCAAGAGAGGTGGACACATGGAAGGAAGCGTACCATTGGTTGGAAGATGACGTCATGCATGTGGTTGAGGTACTGCAGGGTGGGCGCCGGCATGTGCAGGAAGCATGTGAGCGCTGCCAGGCGGATCTGGTGGGGGAGGGGGAGCGGCAGTAGAGGGTGGGGGGACTGAGGAAGCGAGGAAGGGTGGTGTGGAAGCGAGGAAGGGTGGTGTACAAGCGAGGAAGGGTGGTGTGCAAGTGCTCCAGGTGACCTGTAGGTTGGCATGCCACGTGTCGTGTAGGTTGGCATGCCACGTGTCGTGTAGGTTGGCATGCCACGTGTCGTGTAGGTTGGCATGCCACGTGTCGTGTAGGTTGGCATGCCACGTGTCGTGTAGGTTGGCATGCCACGTGTCGTGTAGGTTGGCATGCCACGTGTCGTGTAGGTTGGCATGCCACGTGTCGTGTAGGTCGGCATGCCACGTGTCATGTAGGTTGGCATGCCACGTGTCGTGTAGGTTGGCATGCCACGTGTCGTGTAGGTTGGCATGCCACGTGTCGTGTAGGTTGGCATGCCACGTGTCGTGTAGGTTGGCATGCCACGTGTCGTGTAGGTTGGCATGCCATGTGTCATGTAGGTGAGCACTGCCACACAGCTCTAGTGTGGGGGAAGAGGCCATGGAGAGGGACAGGAAAGAGACCATACAGATCTAGTGTGGGGGCCAGATTGGCTCAGACACCCCTTAATGGCATACCACATCCCTTAATGGCATACCATACCCCTTAATGGCATACCATACACCCCTTAATGGCATACCATACATTCCTTAATGGCATACCATACCCCTTAATGGTAGGGATGAGCACGAGGCGAACTCGAAGATGTTCGCGTTCGCCTTGGCTCGAGCATGGCCGTTCGGCGAACCGAACAGTGTTCGGTTCGCCGAACAGGTTTCGCCAGAAAGGGTGTTCGAAGTTCGCCTGGAGAGGCGAACATTTCGAACACTTTGGCGAACACGAACATGTTCGCAAGGAACATGTTCGTGTTCGCCTCGGAGGGCTTGGCATGACAAAACACTTGATAACAACACTACCTAACGGTGAAACCTCTTCGACGGTGGAAACCCTGATGGTATCCCGCTACTTCTATTGTTAAGCATCGAAATCACCCTAAACCCCAAACGCCATAATTGAAAGAAATTTAGGCATTAGGCTAGTACTAGAAGGTGTGGGTGTAGCAGGTGGTAGTGGGCTGGGCAGGCTGGTGGTAGCGACATGGTCGCTCAGCTCTAAAAATTGAGCCACAATTGAATTGGCCGCGAAAATTAGGTCGCGGCCTTTTCGTCGACGAACACCTGAGGTGTTCGTCGATGTGACGTGTCGAACACGAACATGTTTGTGTTCGACGCGGCTCGGCACATCGCGGCCGGCGAACACCGAACATGTTCGCCCGAACGGCGAACATGTTCGGGCCAAACATTTTTTAGCAAAAAAAAATCCCGTTCAGTTCGTCTCCAACATGTTCGAGATGAACCGAACGGGTGTTCGGCTATATGCTCATCCCTACTTAATGGCATACCATACATCCCTTAATGGCATACCATACACCCCTTAATGGCATACCATACCCCTTAATGGCATACCATACACCCCTTAATGGCATACCATACACCCCTTAATGGCATACCATACCCCTTATTGGCATACCATACACCCCTTAATAGCATACCATACTCCTTAATGGCATACCATACCTTTTTAATGGCATACCATACCCCTTAATGGCATACCATACCCCTTAATGGCATACCATACCCCCCCCCTTAATGGCAAACCATATCCCTTAATGGCATACCATACACCCCTTAATGGCATACCATACCCCTAAGTGGCTAAAGACGCTCAGGGCGTATTGCGTCCTACCTCTGGACGCATTTGTGCTCCTCCACTCTCACTTCAATTCAAATCTCTTTCAAAAACCCTTGTGGGTTTAGCTAATCTCTTACCTAGGTTATGGCTTCCCCCACTCCTACCTCCTCCTCCGCTTCCAAGCACCACGATTCCCTATAACTGTTTTTTTTAGCTGCCCGGAGGTTTTTTTTTCCCTGTCCGGGCATGCGTCTTTTTCTGCGTCTAACTAGCCTCAGAAGAGCGTCTAGCGTCTAGACGCTAGCGTCCAAGACGCTAGACGCGTCTTTCGTCACTTAGCCATGCCCCTTAATGGCATGCCATACCCCTCAATGGCATACCACGCCCCTTAATGGCATGCCATAACCCTTAACGACATACCATACCCCATATTGCCATATCCTTAACGCCTCGTCTTTCTGTGTCATGCCTCTCCGTGTCACCGTAGACAGTCTTGTACTGGGCAAGGGGGATGTTAGAGGAGGGGCACTACCTGCTTCGTCGGTGCCTATCCAGTGGGCAGTACCCGCGCCTGATTACCATAACTTACCACTCCTCATAACCACAATGCACCATGTTACCCATTGTTACCGCACTGTACCGGAGGAGAGGGGTGTCGGAGGAGGGGTGGCAGCAGGCCAAGGCGAAGCACCTCAGCCCACTGTGAGGCTCCAGGAGGAGGAACACGTGGCAGCAGCTGAGTAGAGGAAGTCAGCTCATTACCAATCACAGAAGAGGCAATAGGTACAGCAGGCAAAGCTGCAGACGCACATGCTGTGGCACCGACTGTAGCACAGGGTAACGTGGTAGGGCTGCAGGCTGTGGATGCATTATTAGCAGGAAGGCAGGCTGTAGCAGATTCTGTTAAGGCAGAGTCACAAGCTGTAGCAGCTTTAGCACTTGTGGCAGGGGCATGGGCTGTACTAGCACAGACCGCTGCCATGGCTGGGGAGACAGAGGCTAGTCCTGACTGTTGTTGCTGGTGGTGGTGGTGGTGGGGGGGGCAGGCACAGCAATGCTGGCTACAAGAGCGCACGCAAGCACAAGCACGCAACAGTGTCGTGCGAGTGTTCCAAGTGACCTTCAGCTGCCGCCTCATGCCCTCGCCCTCCTCCTCCCCCTCTCCTCCTCCTATCAACTCCGACTCGTGCTGCAGCTGTGCACTGCCTGCTCCTGCTGCTACTAGTCCGCCTCCTCGCGTGCCAGCCAGAGCGACAAGCATTCGACCCAGCAGCTGTGGAGGCGCAAGGGTAGTGAGGAGGGAAGGGCATAAAGCGGGCAGAGGAGAGCAAGAGAGAGGGGTGCAGGAGGGGAGGATAAATGGAGAGCGGAGGGGTCAATTGCTATGTTGATGTTGCTTTTGATGTTACTTTTAATGTTTCTTTTGATGTTACTTTTAATGTTGCTTTTGATGTTACTTTTAATGTTGCTTTTGATGTTACTTTTAATGTTACTTTTGATGTTACTTTTAATGTTGCTTTTGATATTACTTTTGAGAATTCTCAAAAGTAACATCAACACAGCAGGAAAGACCGAGGAGCCAAGAAAGACCGAGGAGCCAAGAAAGACTCTGAGAAATGCACCTTGAGTGCTGCAGGCTGGAGGCGATCAGTGAGAGCGGATTCAGCCTGCAGCGAGCAGCAGCTGTCAGAGTGTGCATTAGGAAGCCAATCTTGTGTTGCAGCGTGTGTTGCTGAGGTGCTGGCAGCATCGGGCTTGGCAGGTGTGGTGAGAGGAGCCAATGTGGCGGTGACGAGGGCAAAGAGGTCCGGCCAGAGGGGCTCAGCGGCAGATGCAGGGAATGTGGACACCCATGCTGCCAGCGCCTGGAGGCGGGTAGTGAGGAACGAGGTGTGTGGTTGGAAAAAAAGGACCATAACTGAACTGAAAGGCATGGAAAGATATGCAAGAAATATGGCCACTCATGCTATTAGGGCCTGGCAGGAAAAAAACAGAGGAAATTGGGGGTGGTGAGCAGAGAAGGAAGAAAATCAGGAGACTGGAGCCTCACCAATGGGAAGCTTACGTCAGGAGAGATTATTATGAGTAACCAGAGGGGCGCACGTGGTGGAGTGGATGGTGCACGTGGTGGAGTGGATGGTGCACGTGGTGGATGGTGCATGTGGTGGATGGATCTATCACCGAGGATGCTCACCTGAAGGGCTTCAACGCGCACAGCAGTGGGAATGCAGGGCTGCACCCACGAGAGAAGGCATGTGAATGTGATGGTTGATGGTGTGGTGCTGGTAGCTGTGGCGGGTGGTTGCGGGGGGGGGAGTGTGGAGCGCGAAAGGATGTGGCCCAGAGAGGCTGTCGCTGCTGCTGCTGTGGCTGCCTGCTCGCACACACACACCCAAGCACATCCAAGCACACCCAAGCACATCCAAGCACACCCAAGCACACGCATGCACTCATACACAGATACTCACACACGCATGCACTCATACACAGATACTCACACACGCATGCACTCATACACAGATACTCACACACGCATGCACTCATACACAGATACTCACACACGCATGCACTCATACACAGATACTCACACACGCATGCACTCATACACAGATACTCACACACGCATGCACTCATACACAGATACTCACACACACATGCACTCATACACAGATACTCACACACGCATGCACTCATACACAGATACTCACACACGCATGCACTCATACACAGATACTCACACACGCATGCACTCATACACAGATACTCACACACGCATGCACTCATACACAGATACTCACACACGCATGCACTCATACACAGATACTCAGACACGCATGCGTGCACGCATGCAAGCACACACACACACACACACACACATACACACACACACACACACACACTCACACACACACACACACACACACACACACACACACTCACTCACTCTTGCACGATCCAAGACACGTGGCATGGGAGTCGAGTCACCATCCACCTAGGCGAGACATGCATGAAACAAAGAGTAGCTAGCTATGAAACAGGCCAGGAGGAAACGGATAAGAGGTCTTATCATGTGAGCTTACAGAGGCAGTGGAGATGCCATCCTCGCTATAAGACATGCTGGTGGACCAGGAGGAGGAGGAGAGCGGGCCCGGCGAGAGGAGAGTGGAGATCCGCGTGACTAAAGCGGAGGGCAGAATGTAACTCAAACGAGGGGAAGAGCGGAGGCGATGGTACCTTCAGTGGGGGAGCAGGAGGGCGAAGGGGGGGGAGAGCAGGGAAGGGGTGGAACGGGGGGGTATTGAATGGAATAGATTGAAGCAGGGAGTACAACAATGAAGCCCAGAAAATCCGCTGTCTTGTGCTTTCGTATTTTCAATGACTCTCTGCTAAGGATCTCTTTATACAGGTGTGCTCTTCTCTTCGTGTGAAGGGACTGGTGATGCCAACTCACACCAGACATGCCAAACTGTTCTCTTGTGCTATGACAATGATTTGAGAGACTGCAAAGAGATGGGAGCACGCACTGTTTCACAGCCCGGCTGAATCACAGAGGCACAGATGACAAAACAGAATATATACATACACTACACATATATGAGGAGGAGGTTATTTAAGTTGCTAAACCCACACAATAACAATAAGGGTCGCAGAGGCACATCTTACGGAGTGCAGTGCGCCAGCAGGGACGCCAGCTTGCAGGCGAGGGAGAGCGTCCACGGGTCCTGCTCCTGCTGCAGCACTGCAGCCACGGCTGCACTCGGGGCGGGACAGATGGGGATGGGGGTTGGTTGATGCACGGACAGGAGGACAGGAGGACAGGAGGACACGTGTTAAGGTGAGCATTGCAAGCGACAGGGCCCAGCCCACGGATCGTGCTCCTGCTGTAGTATCACTGCTGCCACAGATGGATGCAAGCAGGGGATAGGGTTGCACAAGCACATGGGAGGACACATGGGAGGACACATGGGAGGACACATGGGAGGACACATGGGAGGACACATGGGAGGACACATGGGAGGACACATGGGAGGACACATGGGAGGACACATGGGAGGACACATGGGAGGACAAATGGGAGGACACATGGGAGGACACATGGGAGGACACATGGGAGGACACATGGGAGGAAACATGGGAGGACACATGGGAGGACACATGGGAGGACACATGGGAGGACACATGGGAGGACACATGGGAGGACACATGGGAGGACACATGGGAGGACACATGGGAGGACACATGGGAAGACACATGGGAGGACACATGGGAGGACACATGGGAGGACACATGGGAGGACACATGGGAGGACACATGGGAGGACACATGGGAGGACACATGGGAGGACACATGGGAGGACACATGGGAGGACACATGGGAGGACACATGGGAGGACACATGGGAGGACACATGGGAGGACACATGTGCATGGATCACAGTCAACAACATCGGTAGATGAGGGGCGGGGGACCGGGAATTGATGATAAACACACGTGCCCACACACGTGCCCACACACAAGTGCCCATACACATGTGCCCCGTACACATGTGCCTATGCACCCACCATTGTGCATATCCACAATACTGTCAGCCAGGATAGCTGAAAGAGAAATGAAGGAAGCTCGACTGCTGCTGCTGCTGCTGCTGCTGCTGCTGCTGCTGCTGCTGCTGCTGCTGCTGCTGCTGCTGCTGCTGCTGCTGCTGCTGCTGCTGCTGCTGCTGCTGCTGCTGCTGCTGCTGCTGCTGCTGCTGCTGCTGCTGCTGCTGCTGCTGCTGCTGCTGCTGCTGCTGCTGCTGCTGCTGCTGCTGCTGCTGCTGCTGCTGCTGCTGCTGCTGCTGCTGCTGCTGCTGCTGCTGCTGCTGCTGCTGCTGCTGCTGCTGCTGCTGCTGCTGCTGCTGCTGCTGCTGCTGCTGCTGCTGCTGCTGCTGCTGCTGCTGCTGCTGCTGCTGCTGCTGCTGCTGCTGCTGCTGCTGCTGCTGCTGCTGCTGCTGCTGCTGCTGCTGCTGCTGCTGCTGCTGCTGCTGCTGCTGCTGCTGCTGCTGCTGCTGCTGCTGCTGCTGCTGCTGCTGCTGCTGCTGCTGCTGCTGCTGCTGCTGCTGCTGCTGCTGCTGCTGCTGCTGCTGCTGCTGCTGCTGCTGCTGCTGCTGCTGCTGCTGCTGCTGCTGCTGCTGCTGCTGCTGCTGCTGCTGCTGCTGCTGCTGCTGCTGCTGCTGCTGCTGCTGCTGCTGCTGCTGCTGCTGCTGCTGCTGCTGCTGCTGCTGCTGCTGCTGCTGCTGCTGCTGCTGCTGCTGCTGCTGCTGCTGCTGCTGCTGCTGCTGCTGCTGCTGCTGCTGCTGCTGCTGCTGCTGCTGCTGCTGCTGCTGCTGCTGCTGCTGCTGCTGCTGCTGCTGCTGCTGCTGCTGCTGCTGCTGCTGCTGCTGCTGCTGCTGCTGCTGCTGCTGCTGCTGCTGCTGCTGCTGCTGCTGCTGCTGCTGCTGCTGCTGCTGCTGCTGCTGCTGCTGCTGCTGCTGCTGCTGCTGCTGCTGCTGCTGCTGCTGCTGCTGCTGCTGCTGCTGCTGCTGCTGCTGCTGCTGCTGCTGCTGCTGCTGCTGCTGCTGCTGCTGCTGCTGCTGCTGCTGCTGCTGCTGCTGCTGCTGCTGCTGCTGCTGCTGCTGCTGCTGCTGCTGCTGCTGCTGCTGCTGCTGCTGCTGCTGCTGCTGCTGCTGCTGCTGCTGTTACTGATGCTGCTGCTTGAAGCACAAGCACCACCACCAACACCATCATAACCCCCAGCAGGACCAGCAGCTCTTTTCCCCCCTGTTGCTTCAACAGCACCACTCTCCACCCCTCCTGACCCTCGCACTGGTGCCCTCTTGCCTGGGGTGCGAGCCCCTCCAGCAGAGGCAGCAGCAGCGGTGGGAGCAGAAGCAGCAGTGCGATGGAGGAAGGTGAGAGTGAGAGGCGAGTCGAGGAGGGCAGTGAGGGTCTGTGCTGCTGCCACTCGCACCTGCAGATGTGCACCAGCATTGAAGAAGGAGAGGAAGGGGGGGAGGAAGATAGAGGAGAGAAGAAGAGGCACGGATGAAGAAGAAGAGGCACGGATGAAGAAGAAGAGGCACGGATGAAGAAGAAGAGGCATGGATGAAGAAGAAGAGGCACGGATGAAGAAGAAGAGGCACGGATGAAGAAGAAGAGGCACGGATGAAGAAGGTTGAGACAGGAGGGGAGGAGAGGCGGAGGAGCGAATCAAAGCGGATCACGGCTGAAGAGAGATCACGGCTGAAGAGAGATCACGGCTGAAGAGAGATCACGGCTGAGGACAGGGAATCGTGTTTAGAGCCATCAACTTCCTCTCTCCCCCATGCAGTGCACCTGTCTCACGTCACCTTGGGGGACGGGTCGGAGAGTAGAGCGGCTAGAAGGGATGTGGACGAAGTCCTGCCAATGGGCCAGTGGAAGGCATGTGGGGCAGTGGAAGGCATGTGGGGGAGGCAGGGCAGTAGAAGAACCAGCAAGGCATGGGGCATGTGGGGCATGTGGGGCATGTGGGGCATGTGGGAAGACTCTCTGTCATTTCCAGCACAGGACATGTAGTAGCTGACTGTGAGCAAGCTCCCTGTGAGGGAGTCAGGAAGCTACTCGTGAAAGAGTGAGTGGGGGTGAAACACTGAATCAAGGACGGCTTGCAGAACGCACCTGGCGGTGGCCGCGGAGGCGTGAGGGAAAAGCACAGCCCAGTGTGCGTGCAATGCCCTGGGACACAAGCCCGCCATGCTCTGGGAAAACATGGTGCACAGGAAGGGATGCGAAACATGGTGCACAGGAAGGGATGCGAAACATGGTGCACAGGAAGGGATGCGAAACATGGTGCACAGGAAGGGATGCGAAACATGGTGCACAGGAAGGGATGCGAAACATGGTGCACAGGAAGGGATGCGAAACATGGTGCACAGGAAGGGATGCGAAACATGGTGCACAGGAAGGGATGCGAAACATGGTGCACAGGAAGGGATGCGAAACATGGTGCACAGGAAGGGATGCGAAACATGGTGCACAGGAAGGGATGCGAAACATGGTGCACAGGAAGGGATGCGAAACATGGTGCACAGGAAGGGATGCGAAACATGGTGCACGGGAAGGGATGCGAAACATGGTGCACAGGAAGGGATGCGAAACATGGTGCACGGGAAGAGATGGGAAAGGAGGGGAAAGGGCAGGAGAGAAGTGAGCAAAGAGCACGGCCCGGTACTCGTGCAGCGACCCGAGTGAGACACCCACCCGCCATGCCCTGGGGCCCACGGGAATAGGGTGCTCGGGACGAGATGGGAGGGAAGAGGTAGCAGGGGAGGAAGAAAGGGGGGAGAGAAAGTAAGGATAGAGGCAACAATGTATCCGATAGGAAAGGAACGATGCCAAGGGTCGAAAGGGAAACAGACATGCCAAGGGTCGAAAGGGAAACAGACATGCCAAGGGTCGAAAGGGAAACAGACATGCGAAGGTCAACATGGACGATGCAAGCAGAGCCTGCATGCCAGCAGGGAAAAGATAAAGAGATTCATTCAAAGATGGATGTAACAGAGCCTCCAATGATGGATGAAGAGATTCGAAGATGGATTTACTCACTGGCTTAGCAATCAACGTTGGGAGGCACGCACGGGACTAGATACAACGACACCTGTGTCCTTGTGAACAGTTGACAACGCTCTCAGCACCCTACGTTCTACGAAATGAATAGATCCCACTCTCTAAGAAAGCCAGAGACAGGAACGCAGCAAGCAAGCAGCAAGCAACCCACCTTGATGCACGTGAGTGCAGCTATTCTCAGCTTCCTTGCCTCCACACCACCGCCTCCCCTCCTCCCATCGCCTCCCCGCCCCCAACTGCCTCTTCCCCCTTCCCCTCCCCTCTCTCCACCCCACCCGTCCTCCTCCTCACTCTGTTCGGACCCAGACCCCCTTGCATTGTTGATTTCCGAGGGAAAATAACCCCAGCTGCTTTGCTCGGTCGCCCGGCTGCCCGGAAAAAATCCATGCAGGTGTGAGGAACGGGGGCCATGAGCAGAAGCTGCACCTGCTGCGAGTTTCAACCCTGCTGCAAGCGTTGATGGCGACGCAAGTGCACCCACCCCTCTATCTGCTCCTGATGCAGCTGCTGCAGGTTGTGCTGCTGCTGGTGGCAGAACAGGAGGCAGGGGGGACAAGGAGGGAGAGAGAGCAGGCGAGGGGGCGTGTGCATTGCGGGAGGAGCGCAGGTGGGGCGGCTTGTAGGGGGACGCAGCGGGGGAGGAGGCGGCTGAGGAGGCAGCTGAAGTGGGGCGAGAAGGGGGAGTGGAGGACAGCTTGGAGGAGGAGAGGGGGGGTTGAAGCAGACGCGCTTGCTGGTGGAGGTGGAGGAAGAGGTGTTGGTGGAGGCCTGCGGAGAGCAGGGACGTGAGGATGGGCAGTAGGGCGGACGCCTGGCAGACACAAGAAGGGACAAGATGAGCGGCAGGTGGTTGGGGGTGGTGTTAGAAGTTGAAATGAAAGAGGTGTTGGTGCTGACGTGCAGAGAGCGGGGACGTGAGGATGGGCAGTAGGGCGGACGCCTGGGGCACGCTAAGGTGGGTGAGAGAACCCGGATGGAAAACTGAAAAGAGCTGATTGTTGGAAACAGGACAAATTCAAAGCCAATTTCATGAAGCAGTAGATTAGCCACCTGACATGACCGCCCTAGGTTTACCAGGTGCTTACACATTATTTGTGGATATTCTTTCTACAATTGAACATACTGGGTTAGCACCTTTGACCTGAACATGTATGATCCAGAGCGAGTACAGAGCTGCACGTGCAGCACGATCCTGGCAGGCTGTCTTCGTTATAAGAGCATTGCTGAGATACTTGTTATGATGCGCACACACCTGGGCTTGGCAGAAGGATGTGGAGAGTGAGGGGGGCGCGAGGCTCAGCAGGTGCAGCAGCAAGGAGAGGAGCGGTCGCATGGCACTGGGGGGGGGGGGGGGGAGCAGGGACGGATTAAGGGTGGGGAGGAGAAATGAAATAGACACTGTGATTGTGCACCTCTTTATTCTGGCACAACGACATGGTACGACGACCACGTGCCATGCGTGACGCACAACTGGTGCGAAGCAAATGGCTCGGTGCTCAAGCATGAAGCCGTGTGCTGTGATGCTGTCCCATGGCATGACATGACTGTTATGACATGCTGTCCCATGGCATGGCATGTCACTGTATGGTGTCATGTCACCGTATGGCGTCATGTCACGCACACCCTACCTGCTGATTCGCATGACCGCATCAATGCTAGTCGGCAGCTGATGCAGGCTTGCCGCCCATCGACGGCTCTGATGAGACGCCAGCAGTGCATGGACGGCCGAGATGCTTCGACCAACGGCCTGAGGGCAATAAAGGAACAGAGCAAGGAGATTGAAGAGCGAAGGCGTTGAAGCACGAGGTACACCCGCAGATTGACACGCCTCAGATTAAGACGTCTCATAGAGTTTTGAAGCATCTCAAGTTTAGAGTTTTGAAACGTTTTCGATGTCGAGTTTGAGACGTCTCAGCACTGCAGCATCACGTTGATTCTTCATTCCAACAGCCTTTGCCGTTGATGAGTGTCAAAGGTGGTCGCTTTGACTCAACTGAACAGTCACTTGTGTGTCAGAGGTGGCATCATCACATAAGGTTATCGCAGGCGAGCAAAGCACTTTCGAGGTGCCTCAGAAAATCGTTTCCTCCCATGCAGCTTGGATGCAAATGCCCTAGCCCCCACACACTCACTCGCTCTCCCTTCCCATTGCGCCCAAACAACCACCCGTGCACCTCCAGCGATAGAGAGATGACGTCAGCAGGAATTTCAGGAAATGGTTTCTTCCCAGCCTCGTTCTTCCCCTTTTCCCCTCCCGCGCCTCCCGCGCCTCCTGCGCCCCCTGCTGCGCCCCCTGCGCCAATGTCCAGCCCTTCCCCTCGCCTTGAGTTTCTCCGTCCACCCCTTCCCCCTCCCCTGGTACCCTTGCGCCTGTCCGGCTCCTCAAGCTCCGCTTCCCCCCTCCCCCCTTCCCCCCAAACCGCATCCCCCTTCTCCGCCAGCATCCGCCCCGCGGCTTCCGTCTCCGCCACCACCGCGTCCACCGCGCGCACCAGCCCCGCAAGAGCAGCCTTTTCAGGGTCGCCCGCACGCTGCTCGCTATTAGCAGCAGCATCCCCGTTATTAGCGTCCTCGCGGCAACCCCTAGGCGCTTCTACAGCGGAATCTGGACTCTTAGACGAGGAAATGGCGGTGGTTTCACGGAGCAGGGCGTGAGAAGATTCGACGAATCTGCGCAGCCGAGCGAGCAGCCGGTCCTCGTCCATCGTTAATGTATCTGCCTCAAAGCTCACGAATCCAATTCGAGGCTTCCAACGTGACGACGTCTGCCAATTCTGCGGAGTTGCTAGAATCTAAAGAGGGTTAGTGGAGGATCATGCTCCAGTTATGCTCACATTCTTCGTGCCTTGATGAGGTTACTAATGGCGTATTGGTGTTGCAAACTGAACAAGGCCGTTCCGCCATGCGGCGGACGCGGAACGAGTGGCTTCAGAATGCGAATATCCAGTGAACAAAAAGGTGTGATGAGCCCAAGTGTTACGGGTGCAGTGAATCGAGGTAACGAGAATTGCACTAAGGTGTGAAACGAGTACAAGCATGTGAGCGAAGGCATGAGCGAACATTTATACGCGAAACATGCAAACGGTAACGCGGTGCGTGCGAGCTAGCTAGTGCTATGCTGGCAGCGAGGCTCGGGCTAGCGTAGACCGACGCGGCCGGGCCAGCAGTGCGAGGTTTGGCAAAACAGTGCGCGCGAAGTTGGCGAAGTCCCGTTAGCAGTAACGGGCGAACAACGGCTGTTGCTGTACGCGATGTAGTCGGGCTCCGTAAGGAATGCCGAGAAAATTCCTTACACTACCCCCCCCCCTCAAGAAGCCCCCTCCGCTACGTGAGTGCGTGTATATCGTGGAATCCCCGGCTCCAGGGTGGTTTTCGAGGTTGGCCAGGGGCACCCAGCTGTCCTCAGTTGGCGTGCGATCCTTCCAGTGGACGAGGAATTCAATCCTCTTGATTCCCGTGGGGTGGCGAATCCGATGGCTCAGGATTTTTTCGGGCTCGATGATCGGCTCCGATGCAGGGCGAGTCATGGATGGCGGGCGGTGGCGAGGCAGTTGGCTTGTGCTTGGGATGTAGGGGCGAAGCAAGCTGATGTGGAACGAAGGGCTGATGTACCAGTCGGTCGGTAACAGTAGATGCGCGGTTACTGGCGTGATCATGTGGCTGATTTGGAATGGGCCACAGTAGCGCGGTCGGAGTTTTGGTACGTCGGGCAGTCGCAGATTTTGCGTGTCGAGTAGTACGTAATCCCCTGACTGGTACGTGACTGGGCGGCGGTGGCGGTCAGCGTTGCGCTTAGCGATGACGTTTGCTTTTTTAATTGCTTCTGCGGCTCTGGTGCGGGCAGCTTGCAGAATTTCGGCGAATTGCTGTGCCCGTGGTGTTGGGTTGTCCGGACTCGGCGTTATGGGCACTGTAGGGTTTTGCCCGTAATTCAGGTAGAAGGGGGATTGTTGCGTCGTCGCTGACGTGGCATTGTTGCACGCAAACTCAATCAGCGGCAGCTGCTGCTCCCAAGTGGTGGGGTCGTCGCACGTGGCACGAATCAACTGCTCCATCGTCTGATTCGTCCGCTCCGTTTGACCGTCGGTCTCGGGGTGGTACGACGATCTGAACTGTAGCTTGGTCCCGAACTGTTCCCAGAGATTTCTCCAGAAGTTGCTCGTAAACTTCGTGTCCCTGTCGCTGATAATCGCTGCTGGTATCCCGTGCAGGCGAACAACGGCTGCGATGAACAGGCGAGCGGTCTCCTCGGCTGAGATCGACTTTTTGCACGCAGCGAAGTGTGCCATCTTCGTCAATCTGTCAACGACGACCATCACCTCGTCGTTACCCCCAGGGCTCGAAGGTAACCCTGTGACGAAATCCATGGTAACCTGCTGCCAGGCGCGCTCGGGCGGTGGTATCGGCTGTAATTGACCCGCCTTCCGCTTCCTCGAGCTTTTCATCACCTGACACGTGGGGCACGAGCCCACGTGCTGCTGCACGTCGGTCAACAGCTCCGGCCAGTAGTAATACCGCTGCAGTTGCTGTCGCGTTTTTTCTACCCCAAAATGTCCCGAGGTATTCCGTCATGTGCCTCCTGCAGTAGCAGCTCCCTCAGTAGTGAGTACGCGGGTACCCAGATGCGGTTGGTGCCTGTTTTTACGTAATAGACTCCTTTGGTTTCTGCAAGTTGCTGCGAGTTTCCAGTCGTGAAAAATGGGTCGGTGCGGTATCCGTGGGTGAATAGACCTGTTAAAAGTGGGTTGGTTTGGGCGAGTAGGATGGCGTGGAGTTGGGCGGTAGGGCGGGTGAGTGCGTCGGCGATGTTGGAGGCGCCTTTCTTGTACGTAACCGTGTAGTGGAAGTTGGACTCGAGGTAGTCCAACCAACGAATTTGTCGCGGATTGAGATTTGGTTGGGCGCGTAGGGACTGTAGTGATCGGTGGTCTGTCCGTACTGTCACGTCTGCGCCGGTCAAGTAACAGCGCCACACTTTGAACGCGTGCACGATCGCGAGCATTTCGCGGTCGTGTATCGGGTAGTTGCGCTCGGGCGGGTGCAGCTTGCGGGACTCGTACGCGATTGGCTGGAGGCCGTTCCCGAAATCCTGCAACAGGACTGCTCCCACAGCATGTCGCTTGCGTCAGTGACGAGCTCGAACGGACGGTGTGGATCTGCGATGTGCAGCACGGGCGGTGAGCACAAAATGTTTTTGAGGGCCGAGAAGGCAGCTTGCTCTTTCTCCCCCCACGTGTACTCAACCCCCTTCCTCAGCAGGTCGGTCAACGGGGCAGTCAGCTTCGCCATGTCGGGGACGAACCGGCGCACGTAGTTGACGAACCCCAAAAAACTCTGCAACTCGGTCAAGTTGGTCGCCGCGTGCCACGCTTGAATCGTCGCAATTTTCTTCGGGTCTATTTCCACTCCTGCAGCTGAAATAATGTGTCCCAAAAACTCCAGGCGATCTTGTAAAAACTCACACTTAGACGCTTTCGTCAGTAGGCGGTTCTCACTCAGTATTTTAAAAACTGCTTCGATGTCCTGTAAGTGCTGTGCTCTGTCAGGTATACTATGACGCACTTATCTAAGAGCGGGCGGAAAACTTCGTTCATGGTCATGTGAAAGGTGGCGGGGGCGTTGGTCAGTCCGAAAGGCATGACGGTGTATTTGAAGGATCCGTAGCGTGTTCGGAATGCGGTCTTAGGGCAGTCGGGCGGATTGACGCGAATCTGGTGGTAACCCCCACGGAGGTCAATTTTCGAGAAAACCCGGGCTGTGCGCAGTTGGTCGATCAGTTCGTCGGCTCGCGGGATGGGGTAACGGGACTTGATGGTAACCCTGTTCAGTGCTCTGTAATCGATGCACATGCGAAATCCCCCGTCTTTTTTCGGCGTGAACAGTATCGGTGTTGCGAAGGGCGACGAACTAGGGCGAATGAACTCCTTCTCGAGCAGGTAATCGAGCTGCTTCCTCAGTTCGTCCAGTTCGGGCTGGGTCAGTCGGGACTTTCGCTGTACTGTTGGCTGTGTCCCTGGTTCTAACTCTATCCTGTGGTCGTGCGGTCGCTGAGGTGGCAGCCCCGTCGGTAAATCGTCCGGGAAAATGTCGCTGTACTGCTTTAACAGTGCTGCCAGGTCACTCGGTGCGTCGGCCAGCAGTTTCTGTAAATCCCCTCCTGTGTCTGCTGCCTCGGCTTCCCGAATGTCGATTGCGTACACGTCAGCTCCTGCCGCTACGGCGCGTTTCATCGTGATCGCGTTGACACGCGCCGACGAAGGCTCAGGTGAGCCCCAGCGAGGTAAGGCGATGTTGTTACCGTTCACTCGCACGGTGCAGTCACCCGTCGTCCAGTCGATTCGCGGATTGTGTCGTCGCAACCAATCATGCCCGAGTAAAATATCGGTTCCGTCGAGGGTCGTTGCGAGCATTTCCTGGCTAAACGTGAAGTTACCCCCACATCGAATCCGAACCCGGTCTATGCTCGTATTGCCAGCGGCGTGCCGTCAACCAGTCTTGCGTCGATCTCAGGTAAGCATCTGTCCAATGGCAGTCGCAGTTTTCGTGCTGTGGCAGTGTTGATGAGGCTGTGGCTGGCTCCCCCGTCTACAAAGATTTTTACTAAGTCCGTCCCGATTTTCCCACTAAGCAGTATGGGGCTGTCTACCGTAGTACCCTCCTTATTCGGCCGGGTGTGGTCGATTGCGTGAACCGGCACAATCACTCGGTGAGGGTCGGTTGGGTCGGGCGAGCGGCGTGACCTGTCAGTAGAGGGCCCGTCTGCTACTGACTCCCAGCGTTTCCCTGCTGCTTGGTCTGTTTCTGCTGCTCGGCTTCCCCCTTTCCCTTAGCGTTTTCCGGGCATTCGCTCTTGCGGTGTCCCGGCCGATTGCACGCGAAGCAGCGCCCTTTGAACGGTGCGGCAGCGGCGTTTGCGGCGACGGCACGTATCGTGGCGCCCTCGTTCGTCCCACGAGGCCGATGTCCCCAATGGCTGCTTCCGTAGGACCCCGGTCTCGGTCGGCGGAAGAAATCAAGTTTCTCCGCCATAGCGAGAATGTCTTGAAAATCGGTGACGCCGCGAAGCTGGATTTCCTGAGCGATGTCGTGCTTCAGGCCGCCGATGTAGCGGTCGATGCGCTCGCTCTCGTGCATATATCCCACCTGCTCGCATAGCGCCAGAAATCCGCTCGTGTAGACTTGGACGGAACCGAGTTGGCGCCAAGTGCGGAGCCTCTGTCGCGCCGCAATCGAAGCCGCGATTGGCTCGAAACGAGCGCGCAGACCTGCGCACCACGCGTCCCACGTGCGATATTGGGGCACCTCCACGAAATACGACGGCGCCCAGGGTCCGGTTTGTCCTTCCCGTGTCGGTAGAGTCGCGTAGTCCACCGGCTTTGTGACGATGACGCGCCACCAGTCCATGGCGGGTCCTCGCAGCAACGACACGGCGTAGCGAATCTTCGCCGTATCCTCCGAGACGTAGTTCGCGTCGAAGAAAACGTTCAACGTGAAGAGCCACGCCTGAACGGTAGGACCACCCCGCTGACTTGGGTCAAAGCATGGCGGACGCTGCGGCTTTAGCGGCATCGGCGACGGAAGAGTTGATTCGCCGGCCGGCACCGAAATCGTGACTCGAGGCTGAGTCCTGGCCGCATTCGTCGCGTTGGGGTGTGTCGTGCCGTGGTCGTCGTCGCCGTCACGGCGGACGACGCCATCACTTGCGCTCCGCGCTCGCGGGTTGCCCCACACTTCCGTGCTGTGATGTCTGCAGTGGGGGCTGAATCGCAGTGCCAGGTGCTTGGGATTGTGCCCGTGTGAGGTCGTTTTGCAGGGACGAGCGTTCGGCCGTCAGCGTCGCGATTTCCTCGGCGCTCTCGCGGATTTGTCGCAGCAGATCGTTCAAGTGCTCCTGCGTGAGAGTCGTGACGTCGATGTGTTCAGCCATTTCGAAGGGCGTCGGCTCGGCTTAGTCTAGGCGCAGTCGTGGCTGCACGCGTTTACGAGAGAACGCGAGGACAGCGGCTCCTAGGTGCTAAGGTACGTGGGGCCCTTCGAGTGAAAAATCAAAAGTTGATGTCTTGGGGTGCGGAGATGCGCGGTCCGAAAAGGAAAGTGGCTCTGAATACCAAGTGTTACGGGTGCAATGAATCGAGGTAACGAGAATTGCACTAAGTTGTCAAACGAGTACAAGCATGTGAGCGAAGGCATGAGCGAACATTTATACGCGAAACATGCAAACGGTAACGCGGTGCGTGCGAGCTAGCTAGTGCTATGCTGGCAGCGAGGCCCGGGCTAGTCCCGAAGCGTAGACCGACGCGGCTGGGCCAGCAGTGCGAGGTTTGGCAAAACAGTGCGCGCGAAGTTGGCGAAGTCCCGTTAGCAGTAACGGGCGAACAACGGCTGTTGCTGTACGCGATGTAGTCGGGCTCCGTAAGGAATGCCGAGAAAATTCCTTACACCAAGAAACCGGGTTGCTGTCAGAGTTCCCGCTCTGTTTCCTGTGAGTTCGTAGGGGCAGATCGTCCTTGGGTTGAACGACACTCGCTATTGTAGGGCCGTGGCATCTGTATTAGAAAAAAAAATCGATTCAATGTAAGAACGAATCTTCATTCTAATAAACCCACGAGTTCATGGTTGCAGGCTTGCATACGTTGTCACACAATAATAACTTGATTTTGAAATTTTCTAATGGAAAACCACATTAAACATAAATCAGAGCTGAAATACGGGTACCTCGATGGCATCAAAAACAACAAGTTGACTCAACGGAAATGTGTAGTACACATAAGGTAACTGATCTGCTTATAGCGACTGTATGTAGCCCTGAAGCCCTTATATCGCGCATCCATTGGATCCCACAACATCCTGTTTTTACGGTTAGGGCGGGTCGAGCGCGTATGCACACAGTTCGTTCTGTGCGGTTCATCTTGTTGCGTCACGGTGCAATACGGTGAAAAAATAAATTCCGCTGTCCACCTTCTGAATCGTTCTAAACCAGGGCAAATCTTTCGTTTTTGAAGGCACGGAAGGCTCCGGGTTCGCCTGAGAAAAGACCTGAAGAATCAGTATTCCCTCGAAAGTTTCCCTTCCGCGTCGGTGTGTTTTTTCCGAAAATCCGAAAATGCACAGGAGCAGTTCTATCACCCTAGGCGCAAGTGGCTCTAAAATGTCTAAGTTGGGTGGGCAAGGACCAACAGCCCTGAGATATACATCATGTCTGACAGCACTTATGGGCATCATTGCATTCGACATCCTACACAAGAACTGGTACCGAACTGGTACCGAGCTAAAATATCAGGATTGTTTTCGAAACAATACTGAAGTCCCCGATCGCTTAGCCAAATCATCCGGAAATGGTCCGGATGATTTCTAAAACGATTTTTTTTTGTCATTGATAGTGTATACCGATACAGGCAAGCATATACCATCAAACGGTCGTAACCGTGCGTGAGGGACAGCAGCCTATCTACTGTTCTTCTAAAACGATTCTGATGAATCAGGGTTAGCCGAAAAAACATACGGAATGTACCTGAGTTTCAGAGTGTTTACCCGGATACCGAGAGCCCTGTTCTAAACATGACGGTTGAACTGTCAACGTACACCCTGCACCCGCACTAATCGTCAATCCCCAAGCCTCACCGACAATAATAAGCTTCTCGGTGCGGCAGTTGATCACACACATCGTTCAGGCATCAAGATCCGTTTTTGGTAGGTAAATTTCGACAGTTCCGGACCTAGATCGTAGACTTTCTATTGATTCGCGATCCCTCAGGCTGACAATGATGGGCAGGTGTCGACGAGCTGCGTCGCCTTCTTTTCTCCTCTTCCTGTTGGCTTTTCTCCTCGCCGCATTTCGCGAAGCTTCCGCGGTTCGATTCACGCTAGACCAGTTCGAGTGCCTGACCTACTACGTGCATTACGTCGGCGACGAAGTGCATGGTAACTTCGTCGTCGTCAGTTCGCAAACGTGGGGTGAATGGGAGTCGCTGGGGGTCGACATCGTTGTAAGCACAGCACAATAACCCCTCCCATGCTCCCATTTAGAGAACAATGTCACATTTCACAGCCCCGTTATCAATCACATAGTGCCTTACCTATTCCTAACCTGTCAAAAAGGCTCCTTTGCGAGCAACACTCGGCCAATTGCAATATTCTTCTAGGTAAGACTCGCCCAAACTTCTCTCTCGCTCTCCGTGCAGTCTCTCTAATGCAAAACCTTTTTGTCCCATCTTCACCCCTCATTCCCTGTCGTTCCCCTTTTCTCAACCAAAAATCTCGACCGCTCAGGCCGGACATTGAAGGAATATCCCAACGGAAACGTTCGCCATGGTAACAAGGTGACTTTTGAGTCACCATGGTAACGAGGTGACTTTTGAGTCGCCATGGTAACAAGGTGACTTTTGAGTCGACTCAAAAGTCACCTCAACAGCTATCAGGTACGCATGATCCACACATCGTCGCAGCGCAGCGCACGGCCTCACAGATCATGCACCCCTCGGCCGTTCCTTCCTCCCTCTTCCTCTCAACAGGTAGAGGACCCCGACGGGTACCACGTGCACTCGGCGCAGGGTCAGACGGAGGGCGTGTTTTCATTTGAGTCGATGCGGGAGGGCGACTACAAGGTGTGCTTCACGAACAAGTCGCCCATCAACGAGGAGATTGTCTTTGAGCTGCACGTGGGCCACCACTTCAGCGAAAAGGAGCTCGCCAAGGAAGGTGCGTTGTGCGGTGCTGTGCGGTGGGGTTTGGTACTGTGCGGTGCTGTGCTGTGCGGTGCTCTGTGGCGCTATACCGTGTTGTCCCCTCCCTCCTTGCTCCCCCCCTTCGTTGTTCCATTCCATGATCCCCTGTCCCGTGACTCTGCCAGCCTGGCATCCGACCGCCCATCTCCTCCCCTCTCATCCCTCAGTACACGTGGCTGATTAGAGGGACAAGTCGAGGAAGCTGTAGGAGCACATGTTGGTGCTGTCCTGTGCTGTGCTGTGCTGTGCTGTCCTGTGCTGTGCTGTCCTGTGCTGTCCTGTCCTGTGCTGTCCTGTGCTGTGCTGTGCTGTGCTGTGCTGTGCTGTGCTGTGCTGTGCTGTGCTGTGCTGCGCTGTGCTGTGCTGTGCTGTGCTGTGCTGTGCTGTGCTGTGCTGTGCTGTGCTGTGCTGTGCTGTGCTGTGCTGTGCTGTGCTGTGCTGTGCTGTGCTGTCCTGTGCTGTCCTGTGCTGTGCTGTCCTGTGCTGTGCTGTGCTGTGCTGTGCTGTGCTGTGCTGTGCTGTGCTGTGCTGTGCTGTGCTGTGCTGCGCTGTGCTGTGCTGTGCTGCGCTGTGCTGTGCTGTGCTGTGCTGTGCTGTGCTGTGCTGTGCTGTGCTGCGCTGTGCTGTGCTGTGCTGTGCTGTGCTGTGCTGTGCTGTGCTGTGCTGTGCTGTGCTGTGCTGTGCTGTCCTGTGCTGTGCTGTGCTGTGCTGTGCTGTGCTGTGCTGTGCTGTGCTGTGCTGTGCTGTGCTGTGCTGTGCTGTGTTGTCCTGTCCTGTGCTGTGCTGTGCTGTGCTGTGCGGTGCTGTGCGGTGCTGTGCTGTGCTGTGCTGTCCTCTTTCCTTGTTCTCATTGCACTGCGCCCCTCCATCACCCCTCGTCCTCATGACACCTTCCCCCTTTTCTCCTCATCTCGCCCCACAGAGCACGTGGAGCAGACTAGGGACAAGGCAAAGAGTATGAGCGGGTGATGGTGCAGTTCACCTCTCTCCTCCTCACGTACCTCCCTCTTTTCCTCCATCCATCCCACTCGCACCTCTCACCCACAGAGCATGTGGAGCAGACGAGGGACAAGGCGAAGAACTTGTATGAGCGCGTGATGGTGCTGTCAATCCATGCCAAGTTCCGCCACTCGCAGGCTCAGAGGCTCAACGAATGTGAGCGGGGGATGAGGGGTGAGAGGGAGGGTGAAGGAATGTGCGGGAAGGAGGAGGGGTGAGAGGGTGAGAGAATGTGAGGGGGGAGAAGAGGAGGGGACCTGTATGAGCGGGTGATGGTGCTGACGATTCATGCCAAGTTCCGACACTCCCAGGCTCAGAGGCTCAATGAGCGTGAGTGAGGAGGAGGGTGGAGAGGAGAGGGGGTGAAGAAATGTGAGTGAGAGGGGCGGAGATAAGAGCGAGGATGAATGGTAAAGCAGATTGTGAGGCAGCATGAGAGTCGTTCTTCGTAAGTCCGTTTCACACACATCACTGTTGATCCAACTTGCAAGTCACCTCGCCGCACACACATCACTGTTGATCCAACTTGCAAGTCACCTCGCCGCACACGCATCACCATCTCGCTCCCCTCCCTCCCTTCGCATCTCCTTTTTCTTCCATGTCTTCTCTCCCCTTCCTTCCCCGAATCTATTCCTTCTCCCCCCCCCCCCCCCCCCCCCCCCCCCCCCACCCACATCCCTCCTCCACCTCTCCCTTCGCGTCCTTTACCCCTCGCCTCCCTCCCAACTCCTCCGCATCCTCTGCTTGCCAAGCCACTCTTATGGTGAGGAAGGCTGTGCTCCCTTGGAGGCCTGTTTTCATTCCCGCATCCCCTCTCCATGCGCATCACACATCCCCTCTCCATGCGCATCACACATCCCCTCTCCATGCGCATCACACATCCCCTCTCCATGCGCATCACACATCCCCTCTCTATGCGCATCACACATCCCCTCTCTATGCGCATCACACATCCCCTCTCTATGCGCATCACACATCCCCTCTCCTCGCGCCCCACTTTTCCCAAATCTCCCCATTCATTCCGACATTCTCCCCATGACTCCCACATCTCCCCTTGCACTCGTCTCATCTTTTCCCAACTCTTCCCCCTCGTGCCCTGCACTTTCCCCCATCTCCCAATCCTCGCGCCCTGCCCTGCCCTTCCCCCGTCTCCCCCTCCTCGCACCCTGCTCTTTCCCCCACCTCCCTGCCCCCTCGCACCCTGCCATTCCCCCAACTGCAGTGCCCTCGTACCCTGCCCTAAGTCCACCACAGCAACGCTGATCCTCAAGACGGCCCCCCTTCCTCATGCGCCCCACCTTTCCCCCACCTCCCCCCTTCCCTCTCTCCCTCATCTCCACCTCATTTCCCCATTCCCAGTCGCCGAGACCACAACAGCAGGGCTTATCACCCACACTACTACTCCCCCTTCATCTCTCCCTCCCTACCCTCCGCCCCATTCCCCTGCCCTGCCCCCTCATCCCCCCTGCCATCTCCCCCCCTCTGGTTTCCACGCGCAGTGGCCAAGACCACCACAGCATGTGGCGCATCTTCAAGACGCCCCCCCTCCTCATGCGCCCCACCTTTCCCCCACCTTTCCCCCACCTTTCCCCCACCTTTCCCCCACCTTTCCCCCACCTTTCCCCCACCTCCCCCTTTACTTCCCGCCTGCCTCCACCCCCACTGCCATCCCCCCGCCCCCGGTGCCCATGCCCAATGGCCAAGACCACCACAGCATGCGGCGCATCTTCCCACAACAATGCTCCCCCTTCATCTCTCCCTTCCTACCCTCCTCCCCATTCCCCTGCCCTGCCCCCATCCCCCCTGCCGTCTTCCCCATGCCCTGCCCCACGCCCTGCCCCACGCCCTGCCCCATGCCCTGCCCCACGCCCTGCCCCACGCCCAGTGGCCAAGACCACCACAGCGAGGCTCATCTTCAAGACGGCCGTCCAATCAGGCGCGCTCATTCTTTGCAGCTCAATCCAGGTGATGCTACACTGCTGGTCAGATGATGCTTCAGTGCTGGTCAGGTCAGGTGATGTTACAGTGCTTTCTTAGAGACTAGGTTGCAGTGATAACCCTGCTGCACAGTGCTGAACAGTGCTGCACAGTGCTGAACAGTGCTGAACAGTGCTGCACAGTGCTGCACTGCCCAACCAACCCTTCCTTGAGGTGATGCTACAGGGCTGTCAGCACTGCAGCCAAGACACTTGATCCTTGCCTCCCCGCACTGCACTTCATCCTCCCTGCAGCAATCATGCCCGCACTCCATCCTCTCTGCAGCAATCATGCCCGCACTCCATCCTCTCTGCAGCAATCATGCCCGCACTCCATCCTCTCTGCAGCAATCATGCCCGCACTCCATCCTCTCTGCAGCAATCATGCCCGCACTCCATCCTCTCTGCAGCAATCATGCCCGCACTCCATCCTCTCTGCAGCAATCATGCCCGCACTCCATCCTCTCTGCAGCAATCATGCCCGCACTCCATCCTCTCTGTGCAGCAATCATGCCCGCACTCCATCCTCTCTGTGCAGCAATCATGCCCGCACTCCATCCTCTCTGCAGCAATCATGCCCGCACTCCATCCTCTCTGCAGCAATCATGCCCGCACTCCATCCTCTCTGCAGCAATCATGCCCGCACTCCATCCTCTCTGCAGCAATCATGCCCGCACTCCATCCTCTCTGCAGCAATCATGCCCGCACTCCATCCTCTCTGCAGCAATCATGCCCGCACTCCATCCTCTCTGCAGCAATCATGCCCGCACTCCATCCTCTCTGCAGCAATCATGCCCGCACTCCATCCTCTCTGCAGCAATCATGCCCGCACTCCATCCTCTCTGCAGCAATCATGCCCGCACTCCATCCTCTCTGTGCAGCAATCATGCCCGCACTCCATCCTCTCTGTGCAGCAATCATGCCCGCACTCCATCCTCTCTGCAGCAATCATGCCCCCACTCCATCCTCTCTGCAGCAATCATGCCCGCACTCCATCCTCTCTGCAGCAATCATGCCCGCACTCCATCCTCTCTGCAGCAATCATGCCCGCACTCCATCCTCTCTGCAGCAATCATGCCCGCACTCCATCCTCTCTGCAGCAATCATGCCCGCACTCCATCCTCTCTGCAGCAATCATGCCCGCACTCCATCCTCTCTGCAGCAATCATGCCCGCACTCCATCCTCTCTGCAGCAATCATGCCCGCACTCCATCCTCTCTGCAGCAATCATGCCCGCACTCCATCCTCTCTGCAGCAATCATGCCCGCACTCCATCCTCTCTGCAGCAATCATGCCCGCACTCCATCCTCTCTGCAGCAATCATGCCCGCACTCCATCCTCTCTGCAGCAATCATGCCCGCACTCCATCCTCTCTGCAGCAATCATGCCCGCACTCCATCCTCTCTGCAGCAATCATGCCCGCACTCCATCCTCTCTGCAGCAATCATGCCCGCACTCCATCCTCTCTGCAGCAATCATGCCCGCACTCCATCCTCTCTGCAGCAATCATGCCCGCACTCCATCCTCTCTGCAGCAATCATGCCCGCACTCCATCCTCTCTGCAGCAATCATGCCCGCACTCCATCCTCTCTGCAGCAATCATGCCCGCACTCCATCCTCTCTGCAGCAATCATGCCCGCACTCCATCCTCTCTGCAGCAATCATGCCCGCACTCCATCCTCTCTGCAGCAATCATGCCCGCACTCCATCCTCTCTGCAGCAATCATGCCCGCACTCCATCCTCTCTGCAGCAATCATGCCCGCACTCCATCCTCTCTGCAGCAATCATGCCCGCACTCCATCCTCTCTGCAGCAATCATGCCCGCACTCCATCCTCTCTGCAGCAATCATGCCCGCACTCCATCCTCTCTGCAGCAATCATGCCGCACTCCATCCTCTCTGCAGCAATCATGCCCGCACTCCATCCTCTCTGCAGCAATCATGCCCGCACTCCATCCTCTCTGCAGCAATCATGCCCGCACTCCATCCTCTCTGCAGCAATCATGCCCGCACTCCATCCTCTCTGCAGCAATCATGCCCGCACTCCATCCTCTCTGCAGCAATCATGCCCGCACTCCATCCTCTCTGCAGCAATCATGCCCGCACTCCATCCTCTCTGCAGCAATCATGCCCGCACTCCATCCTCTCTGTGCAGCAATCATGCCCGCACTCCATCCTCTCTGCAGCAATCATGCCCGCACTCCATCCTCTCTGCAGCAATCATGCCCGCACTCCATCCTCTCTGCAGCAATCATGCCCGCACTCCATCCTCTCTGCAGCAATCATGCCCGCACTCCATCCTCTCTGCAGCAATCATGCCCGCACTCCATCCTCTCTGCAGCAATCATGCCCGCACTCCATCCTCTCTGCAGCAATCATGCCCGCACTCCATCCTCTCTGCAGCAATCATGCCCGCACTCCATCCTCTCTGCAGCAATCATGCCCGCACTCCATCCTCTCTGCAGCAATCATGCCCGCACTCCATCCTCTCTGCAGCAATCATGCCCGCACTCCATCCTCTCTGCAGCAATCATGCCCGCACTCCATCCTCTCTGCAGCAATCATGCCCGCACTCCATCCTCTCTGTGCAGCAATCATGCCCGCACTCCATCCTCTCTGCAGCAATCATGCCCGCACTCCATCCTCTCTGCAGCAATCATGCCCGCACTCCATCCTCTCTGCAGCAATCATGCCCGCACTCCATCCTCTCTGCAGCAATCATGCCCGCACTCCATCCTCTCTGCAGCAATCATGCCCGCACTCCATCCTCTCTGCAGCAATCATGCCCGCACTCCATCCTCTCTGCAGCAATCATGCCCGCACTCCATCCTCTCTGCAGCAATCATGCCCGCACTCCATCCTCTCTGCAGCAATCATGCCCGCACTCCATCCTCTCTGCAGCAATCATGCCCGCACTCCATCCTCTCTGCAGCAATCATGCCCGCACTCCATCCTCTCTGCAGCAATCATGCCCGCACTCCATCCTCTCTGCAGCAATCATGCCCGCACTCCATCCTCTCTGTGCAGCAATCATGCCCGCACTCCATCCTCTCTGCAGCAATCATGCCCGCACTCCATCCTCTCTGCAGCAATCATGCCCGCACTCCATCCTCTCTGCAGCAATCATGCCCGCACTCCATCCTCTCTGCAGCAATCATGCCCGCACTCCATCCTCTCTGCAGCAATCATGCCCGCACTCCATCCTCTCTGCAGCAATCATGCCCGCACTCCATCCTCTCTGCAGCAATCATGCCCGCACTCCATCCTCTCTGCAGCAATCATGCCCGCACTCCATCCTCTCTGCAGCAATCATGCCCGCACTCCATCCTCTCTGCAGCAATCATGCCCGCACTCCATCCTCTCTGCAGCAATCATGCCCGCACTCCATCCTCTCTGCAGCAATCATGCCCGCACTCCATCCTCTCTGCAGCAATCATGCCCGCACTCCATCCTCTCTGCAGCAATCATGCCCGCACTCCATCCTCTCTGCAGCAATCATGCCCGCACTCCATCCTCTCTGCAGCAATCATGCCCGCACTCCATCCTCTCTGCAGCAATCATGCCCGCACTCCATCCTCTCTGCAGCAATCATGCCCGCACTCCATCCTCTCTGCAGCAATCATGCCCGCACTCCATCCTCTCTGCAGCAATCATGCCCGCACTCCATCCTCTCTGCAGCAATCATGCCCGCACTCCATCCTCTCTGCAGCAATCATGCCCGCACTCCATCCTCTCTGCAGCAATCATGCCCGCACTCCATCCTCTCTGTGCAGCAATCATGCCCGCACTCCATCCTCTCTGTGCAGCAATCATGCCCGCACTCCATCCTCTCTGCAGCAATCATGCCCGCACTCCATCCTCTCTGCAGCAATCATGCCCGCACTCCATCCTCTCTGCGCAGCAATCATGCCCGCACTCCATCCTCTCTGCAGCAATCATGCCCGCACTCCATCCTCTCTGCAGCAATCATGCCCGCACTCCATCCTCTCTGCAGCAATCATGCCCGCACTCCATCCTCTCTGCAGCAATCATGCCCGCACTCCATCCTCTCTGCAGCAATCATGCCCGCACTCCATCCTCTCTGCAGCAATCATGCCCGCACTCCATCCTCTCTGCAGCAATCATGCCCGCACTCCATCCTCTCTGCAGCAATCATGCCCGCACTCCATCCTCTCTGCAGCAATCATGCCCGCACTCCATCCTCTCTGCAGCAATCATGCCCGCACTCCATCCTCTCTGCAGCAATCATGCCCGCACTCCATCCTCTCTGCAGCAATCATGCCCGCACTCCATCCTCTCTGCAGCAATCATGCCCGCACTCCATCCTCTCTGCAGCAATCATGCCCGCACTCCATCCTCTCTGCAGCAATCATGCCCGCACTCCATCCTCTCTGCAGCAATCATGCCCGCACTCCATCCTCTCTGCAGCAATCATGCCCGCACTCCATCCTCTCTGCAGCAATCATGCCCGCACTCCATCCTCTCTGTGCAGCAATCATGCCCGCACTCCATCCTCTCTGCAGCAATCATGCCCGCACTCCATCCTCTCTGCAGCAATCATGCCCGCACTCCATCCTCTCTGCAGCAATCATGCCCGCACTCCATCCTCTCTGCAGCAATCATGCCCGCACTCCATCCTCTCTGCAGCAATCATGCCCGCACTCCATCCTCTCTGCAGCAATCATGCCCGCACTCCATCCTCTCTGCAGCAATCATGCCCGCACTCCATCCTCTCTGCAGCAATCATGCCCGCACTCCATCCTCTCTGCAGCAATCATGCCCGCACTCCATCCTCTCTGCAGCAATCATGCCCGCACTCCATCCTCTCTGCAGCAATCATGCCCGCACTCCATCCTCTCTGCAGCAATCATGCCCGCACTCCATCCTCTCTGCAGCAATCATGCCCGCACTCCATCCTCTCTGCAGCAATCATGCCCGCACTCCATCCTCTCTGTGCAGCAATCATGCCCGCACTCCATCCTCTCTGCAGCAATCATGCCCGCACTCCATCCTCTCTGCAGCAATCATGCCCGCACTCCATCCTCTCTGCAGCAATCATGCCCGCACTCCATCCTCTCTGCAGCAATCATGCCCGCACTCCATCCTCTCTGCAGCAATCATGCCCGCACTCCATCCTCTCTGCAGCAATCATGCCCGCACTCCATCCTCTCTGCAGCAATCATGCCCGCACTCCATCCTCTCTGCAGCAATCATGCCCGCACTCCATCCTCTCTGCAGCAATCATGCCCGCACTCCATCCTCTCTGCAGCAATCATGCCCGCACTCCATCCTCTCTGCAGCAATCATGCCCGCACTCCATCCTCTCTGCAGCAATCATGCCCGCACTCCATCCTCTCTGCAGCAATCATGCCCGCACTCCATCCTCTCTGCAGCAATCATGCCCGCACTCCATCCTCTCTGCAGCAATCATGCCCGCACTCCATCCTCTCTGCAGCAATCATGCCCGCACTCCATCCTCTCTGCAGCAATCATGCCCGCACTCCATCCTCTCTGCAGCAATCATGCCCGCACTCCATCCTCTCTGCAGCAATCATGCCCGCACTCCATCCTCTCTGCAGCAATCATGCCCGCACTCCATCCTCTCTGCAGCAATCATGCCCGCACTCCATCCTCTCTGCAGCAATCATGCCCGCACTCCATCCTCTCTGCAGCAATCATGCCCGCACTCCATCCTCTCTGCAGCAATCATGCCCGCACTCCATCCTCTCTGTGCAGCAATCATGCCCGCACTCCATCCTCTCTGTGCAGCAATCATGCCCGCACTCCATCCTCTCTGTGCAGCAATCATGCCCGCACTCCATCCTCTCTGCAGCAATCATGCCCGCACTCCATCCTCTCTGCAGCAATCATGCCCGCACTCCATCCTCTCTGCAGCAATCATGCCCGCACTCCATCCTCTCTGCAGCAATCATGCCCGCACTCCATCCTCTCTGCAGCAATCATGCCCGCACTCCATCCTCTCTGCAGCAATCATGCCCGCACTCCATCCTCTCTGCAGCAATCATGCCCGCACTCCATCCTCTCTGCAGCAATCATGCCCGCACTCCATCCTCTCTGCAGCAATCATGCCCGCACTCCATCCTCTCTGCAGCAATCATGCCCGCACTCCATCCTCTCTGCAGCAATCATGCCCGCACTCCATCCTCTCTGCAGCAATCATGCCCGCACTCCATCCTCTCTGCAGCAATCATGCCCGCACTCCATCCTCTCTGCAGCAATCATGCCCGCACTCCATCCTCTCTGCAGCAATCATGCCCGCACTCCATCCTCTCTGTGCAGCAATCATGCCCGCACTCCATCCTCTCTGTGCAGCAATCATGCCCGCACTCCATCCTCTCTGTGCAGCAATCATGCCCGCACTCCATCCTCTCTGCAGCAATCATGCCCGCACTCCATCCTCTCTGCAGCAATCATGCCCGCACTCCATCCTCTCTGCAGCAATCATGCCCGCACTCCATCCTCTCTGCAGCAATCATGCCCGCACTCCATCCTCTCTGCAGCAATCATGCCCGCACTCCATCCTCTCTGCAGCAATCATGCCCGCACTCCATCCTCTCTGCAGCAATCATGCCCGCACTCCATCCTCTCTGCAGCAATCATGCCCGCACTCCATCCTCTCTGCAGCAATCATGCCCGCACTCCATCCTCTCTGCAGCAATCATGCCCGCACTCCATCCTCTCTGCAGCAATCATGCCCGCACTCCATCCTCTCTGCAGCAATCATGCCCGCACTCCATCCTCTCTGCAGCAATCATGCCCGCACTCCATCCTCTCTGCAGCAATCATGCCCGCACTCCATCCTCTCTGCAGCAATCATGCCCGCACTCCATCCTCTCTGCAGCAATCATGCCCGCACTCCATCCTCTCTGTGCAGCAATCATGCCCGCACTCCATCCTCTCTGTGCAGCAATCATGCCCGCACTCCATCCTCTCTGCAGCAATCATGCCCGCACTCCATCCTCTCTGCAGCAATCATGCCCGCACTCCATCCTCTCTGCAGCAATCATGCCCGCACTCCATCCTCTCTGCAGCAATCATGCCCGCACTCCATCCTCTCTGCAGCAATCATGCCCGCACTCCATCCTCTCTGCAGCAATCATGCCCGCACTCCATCCTCTCTGCAGCAATCATGCCCGCACTCCATCCTCTCTGCAGCAATCATGCCCGCACTCCATCCTCTCTGCAGCAATCATGCCCGCACTCCATCCTCTCTGCAGCAATCATGCCCGCACTCCATCCTCTCTGTGCAGCAATCATGCCCGCACTCCATCCTCTCTGTGCAGCAATCATGCCCGCACTCCATCCTCTCTGCAGCAATCATGCCCCCACTCCATCCTCTCTGCAGCAATCATGCCCGCACTCCATCCTCTCTGCAGCAATCATGCCCGCACTCCATCCTCTCTGCAGCAATCATGCCCGCACTCCATCCTCTCTGCAGCAATCATGCCCGCACTCCATCCTCTCTGCAGCAATCATGCCCGCACTCCATCCTCTCTGCAGCAATCATGCCCGCACTCCATCCTCTCTGCAGCAATCATGCCCGCACTCCATCCTCTCTGCAGCAATCATGCCCGCACTCCATCCTCTCTGCAGCAATCATGCCCGCACTCCATCCTCTCTGCAGCAATCATGCCCGCACTCCATCCTCTCTGCAGCAATCATGCCCGCACTCCATCCTCTCTGCAGCAATCATGCCCGCACTCCATCCTCTCTGCAGCAATCATGCCCGCACTCCATCCTCTCTGCAGCAATCATGCCCGCACTCCATCCTCTCTGCAGCAATCATGCCCGCACTCCATCCTCTCTGCAGCAATCATGCCCGCACTCCATCCTCTCTGCAGCAATCATGCCCGCACTCCATCCTCTCTGCAGCAATCATGCCCGCACTCCATCCTCTCTGCAGCAATCATGCCCGCACTCCATCCTCTCTGCAGCAATCATGCCCGCACTCCATCCTCTCTGCAGCAATCATGCCCGCACTCCATCCTCTCTGCAGCAATCATGCCCGCACTCCATCCTCTCTGCAGCAATCATGCCCGCACTCCATCCTCTCTGCAGCAATCATGCCCGCACTCCATCCTCTCTGCAGCAATCATGCCCGCACTCCATCCTCTCTGCAGCAATCATGCCCGCACTCCATCCTCTCTGCAGCAATCATGCCCGCACTCCATCCTCTCTGCAGCAATCATGCCCGCACTCCATCCTCTCTGCAGCAATCATGCCCGCACTCCATCCTCTCTGCAGCAATCATGCCCGCACTCCATCCTCTCTGCAGCAATCATGCCCGCACTCCATCCTCTCTGCAGCAATCATGCCCGCACTCCATCCTCTCTGCAGCAATCATGCCCGCACTCCATCCTCTCTGCAGCAATCATGCCCGCACTCCATCCTCTCTGCAGCAATCATGCCCGCACTCCATCCTCTCTGCAGCAATCATGCCCGCACTCCATCCTCTCTGCAGCAATCATGCCCGCACTCCATCCTCTCTGCAGCAATCATGCCCGCACTCCATCCTCTCTGCAGCAATCATGCCCGCACTCCATCCTCTCTGCAGCAATCATGCCCGCACTCCATCCTCTCTGCAGCAATCATGCCCGCACTCCATCCTCTCTGCAGCAATCATGCCCGCACTCCATCCTCTCTGCAGCAATCATGCCCGCACTCCATCCTCTCTGCAGCAATCATGCCCGCACTCCATCCTCTCTGCAGCAATCATGCCCGCACTCCATCCTCTCTGCAGCAATCATGCCCGCACTCCATCCTCTCTGCAGCAATCATGCCCGCACTCCATCCTCTCTGCAGCAGTCATGCCCGCACTCCATCCTCTCTGCAGCAGTCATGCCCGCACTCCATCCTCTCTGCAGCAGTCATGCCCGCACTCCATCCTCTCTGCAGCAGTCATGCCCGCACTCCATCCTCTCTGCAGCAATCATGCCCGCACTCCATCCTCTCTGCAGCAATCATGCCCGCACTCCATCCTCTCTGCAGCAATCATGCCCGCACTCCATCCTCTCTGCAGCAATCATGCCCGCACTCCATCCTCTCTGCAGCAATCATGCCCGCACTCCATCCTCTCTGCAGCAATCATGCCCGCACTCCATCCTCTCTGCAGCAATCATGCCCGCACTACATCCTCTCTGCAGCAATCATGCCCGCACTCCATCCTCTCTGCAGCAATCATGCCCGCACTCCATCCTCTCTGCAGCAATCATGCCCGCACTCCATCCTCTCTGCAGCAATCATGCCCGCACTCCATCCTCTCTGCAGCAATCATGCCCGCACTCCATCCTCTCTGCAGCAATCATGCCCGCACTCCATCCTCTCTGCAGCAATCATGCCCGCACTCCCCCTGTCACCCTCTTGGCGGCCCCTTCACAGTACTGCACTGTGCTGTAGTGCGGCACTGCGGGCCCTTCACTGTGCAGCTCCCCCTCCCCCCCCCCCCCCCCGCGCACTCCCTTCACAGTATAGCACTCCCAGTCCTTTTCTGCAGGCCCATTCGTTGCACCGTCAGAGCATAAGGAAGGAGGCATTCGTGCTTGCTTAATCAAAGGTGGTTTGGGGTACTGCGGGATTCTCGCCATTCTCCACACCCCTCCCGCACCCACCTTGTCCATTTCTGCAGGTCTATCTGTTGCACCGTCTCTTTGAACGCAAGCTGGGGAGGTCCTTTGTGTGATTGTACCGCTGCACTGCTGCAGCAGCCATGATTGACTGCACTGCAAGTGTGTCAGTCCAGCAAAAGCACTGGTCAATTGCAGTGCAGAATGCAGTAGTGCTGTGCACAGGTGTATGTGTAGACATGCATAAGTGAAGATGTGCAAGCCTTCCAGCTACCTATTTAACATTTCCATGTGGGTTGTAGAGCAATTCGCTTTGACCTCCCATGGCTACAGCAACAACTCATTTACAGTGCAATATATTTCATAGAATTAATTCATTCCTCTACTGTACAACAAACTGCAATGAATTCGTGAAGCGACCCTGCAAAATGAACCAGCTAAGTGCTCTCACACACACGGATCCCACACACGTGCTCGCTTGTATGGCGCAGCTGGTTCAGCTCAACCGTCTGTTTCGATCTCGAGGAGCGGCAGCTGCAGGTCCTCTGCTGCTCCTTCATATGCATCCATGGCCTCCTCGTTGAAGAGAATGAAATGTACCTGCACGCATGCACATGCACGCACACGGACACACACACAGACACACACACACACACACACCCCTCCCTGCCCCCCCCCCCCCACACACACACATGCACACGTGCAGGCACATATGCATGTGTGCACGCGCGTGCACACACACAGTTACATCCGCCCAACACATCCGCGCACACAAGCGGTTCAACGCAAGGCAATGGAAGGCAACAGGCTTCTTAGTGGGAGGCGCACAGGCCATGACACAGGGAGAGGCACACATGGAAGGAACGAGTGAAAGGCACGAATGGGAGGCACAGGTGGTGAAGCTATAGAGAGAAGAGAGAGAGAGAGAGAGGTGGACTGACCTCTGAAAAGCCAGCACAGGCTGCTTGAAGCGCCTTGAGGGACACCTGGGCAGCGTCGGGAAAAGGGTAGCTGCATAGACAGCACAACAGCATGAGAGGCACCAAGGGAGACACCAAGGGAAATGGATTCCAGTGGCAGCTTGTTCAGAGGATGGAAGGTCCAGGAATCTCGTACAGCCCCATGAACAGTATCTAAGTAAACCCACATGAACAGTGCCTGAGTAGACCCACATGAACAGTGCCTCAGAAAACCCACATGAGCAGTGCCTGAGTAGACCCACATGAACACCATGAACATTGCTTACTCGATGAGACGTGATGCTGAGTCACACACAGATGATGACGACTCACTGACACATGATGGTGACTCACCCACACGTGATGCTGACTCACCCACACATGATGCTGACTCACCCATAGATGCCGCAGGAAACTGCCGGGAAGGCGATGAACTTGACATTTGCCTTGCGAGCCTCCTCCATAGAGCGGCTGGGAAGGGGGGAAGGGAGAGGATGGGATGGCGGGGACAGCGTTGGCGCGGCTGACTGAAAATTGACCAGCAAGGTTGAATGGGTCAGTTTGATCAACGCTTTGCCAGAGCCATATTGACCAATGTTGACTCGAGTTGACCAGCATTAATAACTGAGGTTGTGAGGCCCACGTTGACTCACACGTAGGCGGACTGCAGCAGCGGTGCAGAGCGCGCAGCTGACGTGTAGATGGGCCCCACCGTGTGAATCACATGCTTCACTGGCAGCTCCGCCGCTCTGGTGGAGGAGAAGGGAAGGGGCGTGGGGGCCAGGGGAGAGTGGAGGGATGAGGGACAGAAAAGGATGGGCCCCACCGAGTGAATCACATGCTTCACTGGCAGCTCGGCTGCTCTGGTGGAGGTGACAGGGGGTGGGGAGACGAGAGGGAGGGGAGATGGGGGAGGGACAGAGCGCCCCAGATGGACCCCCCCGCGTGAATGATATGCCATGCTTCCCTGGGAACTCGGCTGCTCTGGTTAAACGGGAGATGGAAAAGGACATGGGAGGAGGGGGAGAGGGAGGAGACGATGGCGAAGGGGAGGGGCAGATGGACTCCACCTTGTAAATAACATGCTTCACCCTTATCCCATACAGCCACGCTCACCCCGTACACTCACAACCCCCACTCACACCGTCGTGCCCCCACACTCACACCCCTGCACTCACACCCCTGCACTCACACCCCTGCACTCACACCCCTGCACTCACACCCCTGCACTCACACCCCTGCACTCACACCCCTGCACTCACACCCCTGCACTCACACCCCTGCACTCACACCCCTGCACTCACACCCCTGCACTCACACCCCTGCACTCACACCCCTGCACTCACACCCCGTACAGCCACACTAACCCCCTACCCACCCCGTACAGCCACACTAACCCCCTACCCACCCCGTACAGCCACACTAACCCCCTACCCACCCCGTACAGCCACACTAACCCCCTACCCACCCCGTACAGCCACACTAACCCCCTACCCACCCCGTACAGCCACACTAACCCCCTACCCACCCCGTACAGCCACACTAACCCCCTACCCACCCCGTACAGCCACACTAACCCCCTACCCACCCCGTACAGCCACACTAACCCCCTACCCACCCCGTACAGCCACACTAACCCCCTACCCACCCCGTACAGCCACACTAACCCCCTACCCACCCCGTACAGCCACACTAACCCCCTACCCACCCCGTACAGCCACACTAACCCCCTACCCACCCCGTGCACACAGCCTGGCCTGTGGGGCAGCGCACCCCGCTGCTGACTTCCGGCACCGCCTTGCACTCCCTCACCAGTGCCGGGCCTGCTGCCCTGTGGATGGCTGGGGTGGGGAGAGAGGAGAAAGCGTGGGGAGAGGAGAGAGTGGGAAGAGAATGGGTCATACACCGCCTTGCAGTTTTCTGCTTGCTTGCTGCACCGCCTTGCACTCCCTCACAGCACTGGACCCGCCGCCCTGAGGAGTGGATGGCTGGAGGAGGGGCGGAGAGGGGGAGATGGGAGGAGAAGGAGGAAGAAGGGATGCAGCAGACGATAGCTCATCCCTCAGTTTGCAATCAGGGAGGCCTGTTGAATGATCGATCAGACATATTCCCAAAGCAGCAGCGCGATTGAGCAGAGGGAGGATTGAGCAGGAATGAGCAGGACTGTGCATAGGAGAAGATTGAGCAGAGGGAGGCTTGTTGAGTGGACAAAAGCGGATGGCATGGCAAGAAACGGGTAAGAGAATGAGCTAGTTGTTTGTCACTTGCTGTCATTGATGATTATTTGTTTGCTATTCGCTTGACAATGGCGGTGAGAAGAGAGAGTGAAGCATAGGAATAGTGGAAGGAAGGATGGATGGGGGGAGCGGCTTACCTCCGTCCACTCCGCCTCCTCCCAGCATTCTCTCATTGGCTGCATTCACCTGTGAGAGACGCACATGTGCACATGCATGCACACACAACCAGACACATGCACATATACACCACACCAACAAAAAAGACAAGCACATACACGCGGGCACGCATGCACACACACACATGCGCACGCGCACGCACACACACACACACGCACGCACGCACGCACACACACACACACACACACACACACACACACACACCGCACGCACGTACACACACTCACACGCGCGCGCGCACACATGCACACACGCACGCACACATGCACATGCACATGCACATGCACACGCACATGCACCCACACGCACGCACACACACATGCGCACGCACGAGTTGAAGTGCTTGATGGTGTGTGTTCTGATTTGGTCTGGCTTGGTCTGGCTTGGTCTGGTTTGGTTGCGAGCACGGCATGCTGCTGATGGGAACAACACGTTGCCGCGGCATGATCAGGTATCTGCACCGTATGCAACCCACGAGACCCTTGTGCACCCGACAGCTTCAGAAACACTCGTTACAAGAGAAGAACACTCACTATAGCGTCGGACCGCCCGTCCACGGACCACTTGGTGAGGTCGCCTCGCTGCAGCACCAGCACGCACCCCTCCTCCCCCAGCAAGTACGCGGAAGCTTCCGAGAATAGCACGCTGTGATCCTGGCGCAGCTTGTACACCGTCGGGCGCGCGACGGGGGCGGCGGGGGAAGGCTCGGTAGGGGGAGCGGCGGGGGATGGCGCGGTAGGGGGAGCAGCAGCGGAAGCTTCCTGAGGCTCTTCGGCTGCAGCGGGAGTAGCGGCGGAAGGAGCAGCAGCAGAGGATTCGCCAGGGATGGAGTCGGGTTCAGCAGCAGACGACGAGGACGAAGCGTCGCGCTTCGCCTTCTTCGCCGCGACTTCCGCCGCGATCTGCGCGTCCTCCGCCGATACTTCCCCCCCTTCCGCCGGACGCTCCGCTTCTTCCGCAGCGGAATTCTCCGCGGGGCGGGAAGCGCCCGCCGTGGCGACGCGCGGCGGAACTTCCGCGTCCGATGGGGCAGCTGGGTCCACCATTCCGCTTTTAGCAGGAGTAGATCTAGATCGGACGGTGCAGAAGCCTGTTACCCGGTTCTTCGGAGCAAGGTTGGTGGTTCGGCAATACCAAGGCGCGGCCTTGGAGGTAAGGCAGGTGGATCGGCACTCCCAAGGTGTCGCCTTGGAAGGGAAATCGGTCAGCGGAGACGAGTTAAGAGGAGGTAGGAGCGACGCGAAGACGAAAACAGAGGAAAGGCCGCGAAAAGGCGCGAGCTTGATGTTAACAGAAGGTGACTGTAGCGAGAGGAGAGATCGAGGAGCGGCCGTGGGACGAAACGCGTCGATGGAAGATGAAGCGAATGGAGATACGAAGCGCGTCGTGATGGAACCAGGTGATACCTTACCGTTGATCGTTTTACTAACCGACGCTGGGCGACTAGTTCTGCGTAATGCGGTGGTAATAGACTCGCGCAAAGCGGCGGGGTGCGCGCGGCAAAAAGAGGACGAGGCTAGGCAGGGTCGCACCATGGGATCGACGCGCGCACGGTCAGACAGAGACGCTTTTCGCGCCAAAGGCAGCCAATGCGGACTGGCAACGAGTGGAGGTGGACTGGTCTGCAACGTACATCACAAGGCACTGCCTTGCCGTGTGTCCAGTACAAGGAACTGGACGTCACTGGATTGGACGTCAGTGGTTTGGACGTCAGGGGTTTGGGGGGTGGTTGGAAAATCTAGTTACCAAACGTGTTATGAGTTGTTCTAAATAGAGTGCGCTTGTAATGAATTCACAATTCATTACTGTAGAACTGTCCTTAGCGAGGACAGCCCCGAGCACTTCGCGTCAGTGTGGCTCGGCCTACACTTTCGCACCGAACCAATTCCGAGTCGCCCCGCACCAATCGCGACACTTCCGACCCACGCACGTCACGAGGTCCTTGCCTAGCTAGTTTTCGCCCTATATATTCTAACTTCTTTCGTTGTGCTAGAATCAGAAGTTGATCGTCACCAGGATCTACTCAGGAAGGTTCGCACGCAGTAAGGTAGTGTTGGTGGGCCCTTGACCTCAATAGCAGAGTGAATGTAAAATGCTTGAGATGATAAAACATGCAAATACAACAAATATAAATATGAGTACAGGGAAGACGAAACGTCCTAGCTAGCCATGTACTCTAAGGGGTACATTCCCTTATTCAAATTCATTCCCAACCGTGCGGCGCGTACAGTTACGAAACTGTTCCCGCCAAAACCCTCACATTGCCTGCAGCTGCCCGATGCCGTCTGCTCCGACGGTCCAGATGTGCTGTAACTGTCTGACGCTTCGAGTCAATTCCTAACCGTCTGACTCTTCGCGTTCGTTCTCGATACTGCGTGCTTCTCTTGCTGCGGTGAGGAGTGCACAGTAATAATCAAGTATTACTATTCGTAACACCCCCCTTCACTCCTGGCCGTAGCTCGACTTGACCTGCTTGACCACGCCGCTGAGTTTGGAGCAGTGCTGATACTGCTGGCGTGGCAGTCGCTTCGTGAGGAAGTCCGCTGCCATGTCACCGGTCGGGCAATAGGTCAAGTTGACCTTGCCCTTGTCTACTTCGTCCTTCACGAAGAAATACCGCAGCGCAATGTGCTTGGTGCGGTTGACGAAACCAGGTTTGTTCGCGATGCGGATCGCGCTCTGGTTGTCACAGTGAAGACGAAAGGTGGGCGAAGCCGGAATTTTTGCCTTCTGCAGAAGTTCCTGTAAGTAAAGCCCTTCGCGAACTGCTGCGGTTGCTGCGATGAATTCCGCTTCGGCTGACGACAGGGCAACCAACTCCTGCTTCTGCGAATTCCAGGAGATTGGTCCCGTTGGTTCGAGTCGGAACAGGAAGCCGGTCCTGGACCGTCGATTGTCGGGATCTGCTGCATGATCGGCGTCCACATAGCCGATGAGATTGAAGGATGGGGTTGGTGTAGTTGAGTAGCATAGCCCAATCTTGGGCGTTGAGACGAAGTACTGCAGGGCGCGCTGCAGATCCAGAAGATTCTCAGCCGTTGGTTTGCGTGAGTACTGGGCCAGCTGACTTGCGATGTAGGAGAGGTCTGGCCTGCAGGTGACAGAGGCGAAGAGCAGGCATCCCAGCTGCTGCTGGTAAGTCTGAACTCCAGCAGGGGATAGGGCTTTGTTGTCAGGTTTGTGGTTCGGTCCAGGGGTTCGGTAGGGAGTTGAGAGGGGTGCAGGTGAGATGTTGAACCGCTTCCCTAACTCCTCTGCGTACTTAGCCGCTGAGAGGTGAATGGCCTCAGGCGCGTAGGAGATGTTGAGGCCTAAGAACTGCTTCACCTCGTAGTTGCACGTGATGTCGACGCGCCCCGCCAGGGCCTTCTCGAACTGCTCGAGTAGCTCGTTGTTTGAGCCTGTGTAGAGCAAGTCGTCGACGTAAAGTGTGAGGAGGATGTATTCGCCGCGGAAATCGCGACGGTACATTCCTGGATCGTGGGGCATCTGCTTGAACCCGATTTCAAGTAGAATGTTGTGCAGATACTGCTGCCACAGCCTCGGTGCCTGCTTGATCCCGTAGAGCGACTTGCGCAGTTGACAGACTCGCGAGTCCCCTTCACCGTATGTGTGCGGCTGTTCTACGTAGATCACGGCGTCTACTAACGCGTACAGGAACGCGTTCTTCACGTCGATCTGGCGGAGTGGCAGGTGCCTTGCAGCTGCGATGGCGAGCAAGATTCGAACGGAGGTGTGGCGACTGACTGGAGCGAATGTCTGGTCGAAGTCGATGCCATGCCTCTGGTCGTAGCCGCGAACCACCCAACGCGCCTTGAAGCGCTCGATCGTTCCATCCGCTGCGGTCTTCACGCGGAAGACCCACTTCCCCGAGAGGATCCTTGCGCCTTTGATTGCCGCACGGTCGACTAACACCCAGGTGTCTCGGGACTCAAGCGCCTTGATTTCCGCGTCCATCGCCTCGCGCCATTCCTTGCTGTGTGGTCCAGAGAGAGCTTCGCGCGGGTTTCGAGGCTCGACGACACCTGGTGCCTTTGAGGTTGCGGTGTGAAGCCCGAGCAGCTGCAGTCCTGAGACGGTGCTGTCGTGGCGACGTTGCGGGATGACTTCCTGCACATCGTCGTCATCGCTCTCTGGTTCAGGTGGCGCTGGTGGTGCTGCGCCTCTGCCGCTTCCGCCTGTTCCGCCCATTCCTCCTTCCGAGGAATCGTCGTCGTCGTCGTCGCTGCTGCGCCGATCTTCCCATGTGAACTCGCCCCTAGTGTCCTGCTCCAGAATTGCTGCAGCGGCTTCGTCTTCGGGTGTTGCGTAGCTGTGCCCGTCATTTGCGTAGACGCGGTTCGCGTTTGTCTGCTCGTCGTGTCTAAACTGCTCGAGGAAGAGACGTTCGTAGAAGATTACGTCGCGAGCGTGGGCGGTTTTCTGACTGAGAAGGTCCAGCACGATCCATGCCTTGTACTCGTGGCTGATGCCGAGGTGAATTCCCCAGCGCGCGCGGCTGGCGAATTTGCCGATGGTTGATGTCGGCGGGCGGTATTGAACCATGCACCCCCACACGCGGAGCATCGATGTGTCCCCCTTTGTCCCAGTCCACTTGACATGGGGGGACAGATTGCCGGTGATGGCGGTGGTTGAAAGCAGGTTATGCACCCGCACGACGTGGTGCATTGCATAAGTCCAGTAGATCGGCGGTAATTTAGACTGCTTCATCAGCGCCCGCACCTTCGTCATCAACGTGCGGTTCGTCCGCTCAGCTACGCCCTGCTGCTGGTGCGCGTAGGGGAGAGAAATGTGATGCTCGATCCCCTTTTGCGCCAAGTAGGTCTGCATCTGATTGCTCCTGAATTCTGCCGCGCCGTCAGATTGCCAGATTTTGAGCTTCTTCCCAGATTGCCGCTCCGCATGTGCTAGCCAGAGGCGGAACACCTCGTAGGCTCTGTCGCGTGATTCGACGTTCACGACCCACACGTAGCGCGTTCCAGCGTCGATGAAGGTGAGCGTGTACATTTCGTCGTCGACTCCGCAGTGCCCCACGTTCAGGAAGTCGCTGTACACCTTATGCAGCTTGGGGTAGCGATTTGTCCCAGGCTCGAGCAGCGGGAACGGTTGGTGGCTCAGCGCAGCTTCGGGGCAGACGGTGCAGTTGCGCGGGTGTGTCGCGCCTCTCACTTCAGTGCCGTCAGGGCGCAGGAGTGCGCCAGGAGCGAAGACGCCTGCGTCGATGCAGTTTTTCAGCGTCGCGCGTGAAGGATGTCCGAGGCGCTGGTGCCAAAGTGCATCGTCAGCGCGAAAGCCGGAAGTGCGCATGTAGCGCGCGCGAGCCTCCTCAGGGTCTTCGTTAGGTATGGTAGCGGGTTCTGCTGCTGCTTCCTCTGCATCTTCTCCTGCTGCCGCGGTAGTCAGCATCAGCGCCAGAAACTCTCTGTCGCGGATCTCAGAGAGCGGGATGTTGGTCCCAGGGATAGTTCCAGGGACGAAGGTGGGTTCGCGTGGCTCAGAGGCAGGTCCGTAGACGGTGCAACGCGGGGTTGACGGCTCGTTACCCCAGACGATGGTATCCCATGGGTCGCGACGTGGGGGATTGTCAGGAGGAGGTAATGCGAGTGGAATATGGCGCGGGGGACGACCAAGGGGAACGACTGCAGGTGTTGCGTCAGTTTCCTTTGTTTCATCCTCTCCGCCACTTCGTTCTTCGCGGGAAGTTCCCCAGCCGCTGTTGTCGGCGCCAGTTGCGGCGCCCCATCCGCCGCTTGCGTTGGCCCAGGTTCCGCCGTTGTCTCCCCATCCGCCGGTATCGCTCGTCTCCCAGCCGCCAGCGCTTCCCCACCCCCCTTCATTGGAGGCGCTTTCTTCCGCTTCGGCTCCCCATGCGCCGCAAGCGAATGTCCCGCGCGCTTCGGCGAGACTTTGTTGGCAAAGATCCTCTGCTTCGCGGCGTGCCAGTGCTTCCTCTTGTTCCACGGTAAGCTTTGCCGCGGGGTCGCGCCAGTGGGGGTACACCCGCAGAAATTCTTCGAGGGTGTAAGGGCGCGCGACTCCGCATGAGTCCAAGGTTCCGCGGCGTTGTCCGCGCAGAATGCTTTCGAGCCGCTGTGAGGGGGGTCCGGCGTGTGGGTTTTGGTCTGCGCCAAACACGCGGCGAGTAGTGACCTCAAGCTCGAGCTGAGACATTCCTTCCTCTGGCGGCGCATGACGTTCTGCTTCGGCGATGGCGGCGAGTCCGCGGCCGGCAATGGCGCTGGTTGACGTCGTCGGCGTGTGACAGTCCCTGCAGATGCCGTCTGGGTCGGGGTCGTGCAGCGCAGTTTCACGTGGGTGGGGATGATGCGGGACCCACGTCCTCCCGTCAGGGTGTTTCCAATCCCTGCGGTGGATGTGCTCGAAGCGCAGTGGCACGAGATCAATTAACTCGTGCGAGTCGCCGCTGCAGTCGGGGATGTCGAAATCCAGGACATACACTCCATTTTCGGAGTGTGCTCGTCCGATCTGCCTGCGGGGAAAGGTGCGCGATTCGTAGTGCAGCAGAATGTCGCGC